CCTAACTCCCAACTAATGTTCCTTCCACTCTAGTGAAGATAAATTGCTTGGTGAGATAGAGTTATATTACATGTACATATATAAATGTATATTTTACATGTACATTAATTCTAGTTACTTTCAACTCAGTAATTATTCTTAAAAGTTGTTATAACTTATGTTTAGTGCACATAATTTATGTTCAGTAGAGGAGTAAAGACAGTAATGTATATTAAGCTGTTTGCTTTGTTTTCCTTTAGCTTCTTAGCAAAACTGGTTGTTAAGACAATAAAGAGTGAGTTAAAAATGGAATTCAGTGATAACAAACAATGCAGTACTTTGCTGGTTGATGTATGTTGTATACATGCCTCCCACAGAAAATTCTTGCTTTCATTATCCAGTGTACTGCTCATGAGTGGACATATCTGCCCCCACCAGTCTCCTAAATGCCTGTGGGAGTAACACTAATCCCACCTAAAATCCTATTGAATGTGACGGATGGAAACCGTTTAATTTTACCAAAGCCCTTTGCAAACATTTCAGTGAATTGACATAGTTTCATTAGCTATGTTATCTAGTATTGTATTAAAAGGCCCCTTCTTTCTTCTATAAAAATAAAGAGAACAAAAGTAAAATTGTAAATGTAATGTTATTTAGTTATAGATATATGAAAATACAGTTCTGAATACTTTCTAGATTTAATATCAGCATCTTTGTTGTTATGTAATGGACAGTCACTCAGTATTTATTAAATGTCTCACTCTAGGGATGATGATTTGCCACTTTAAAACTTATGAATATGTTGAAATCCCAAACGTGTTGTACTATTGTGATTTTTTTTTTGTCAGAGAAAGAAAGCATGAAACATTTGCTTTTGAAATAGAGAGTTCTTGTTTTTTGAAAGCATTGTACCCATGTGTGCAGTTGTTAAAGTGAAATATTTGTACTTGGCTGGCTTGTCTTCACCAAATTTCACAGCCCAGACTTCTCTTTGGTTGGAGACATAGGGGTAGGTCATTCTGCTGTTAAATAGGCAATTAATTTTCAAAGAAATATAGAGAATGTGCTTGATAATTACTAGATGGAATTTATGTTGTCCTTTCTGTAATAAATTGTTCCTTAAAAAAGAACATTTGTACTTTATATTTATCAGTTGTCAGAGGGCTTTGTTAACCTTTAAATTTGCTTCTGGATTCTAGGTTTCTAGTCCAAATTTAGTTATTTTGTATGTGCTATAACTAGCTGTTCATTGAGGGAAGGAGGATCAGCAAATTAATTATGCTTCTGATTATGTTTAATTACCAAGGTTGACGCTTTCACTCCTGTTCCATAATATATATTTTCATATGTAAAATGCTATATTTCATCCATTTCAAGACAGACATTTTATTCATATTTTAATGCCACTGATATCAGGATATGTCATATAATGTGTGACTTAATTATAATTGATAACATTTTTACTTTCTTAATGGCATATAAAACAATAGGGTGCCTTATAATGCATTATGTCTTAAATTGGATGAAAATAAGTATAATGGGAATATCTTTAAGATTTGAAGCACCATTTGAAACACAGGTTGTTTGCTCTTCACTGTTTTAAAATGGGATTTATAATACCTACCTTGAGGGCCTACTGGGAGCATTACTTTATAAGGAATGTGTGAAACCTGTGGCATGGTATTAGTGGATGTTCTAGGCTTCTTCCATTTCCTACTCACTAAAGTGTCTCCTAGGCTCCAGTTTTTAGCCACTGTCTTTCACTTTTATCTAGCTGCCAGAGTTGTCTTCCTTAACTATACCGATTTTTAGATACCTTCAGTTTTTCCTCATTGCCTACAGTGTAGCCAAACCTCCTGAACGTGGCAGTCCAGATTCACAATGTAGTCCCATCCTTATGGTCCAGTCTTTTATCCCTTTACAATCTGGACTGTGACAAGCTTGCCTTGCTTTTTATGTCCCAGTTACGTTAGATTATTAGATATTGTCCCAAAACTATTTTGACTGTTTTTGTGGTCTTTGAATTAGCATGACCTTTTTTAAAAAAATTCTCCTTTATCTCCTGATTGTTTAAAACAATGAGCCAAAAATTTATTAATATATTTGGCAGAATTATTATGTATATGACGAATACATATATCTCATAAGCTGTTTATTATGACAAGGATAGCATGAGGTCAGCTCTGCCATCTATTAGACATATTGACAGGAAGCAACTTAAACTCTCTAAACTTGTATGTTTTCATCTGTTAAATGAAGTGGGATTTAAATGGATGGTCATTGTGTCTGTCCTTTGTAAAGTGCTCGGCCTAAAATTAATTATAACCTGGAAAGATGATTCTATGTGAACTGGTATAACTCACCCAGATCACTTTTTTTTTTTTAATTTTGAGACAAGGTCTCTCTGTTGCCCTGGCTAGAGTGCAGTGGTGTCATCATAGCTCATTGCAACTTCAAATTCCTGGACTCAAGCTGTCCTCCTGCCTTAGCCTCCCGAGTAGCTGGGACTACAGGTGTGCACCACCATGTCCAGCTAATTTTTTCTGTTTTTTTTTTTTGTAGATACAGGGTCTCACTCTTGCACAGGCTGGTCTCAAACTTCTGACCTCCAGTGATCCTCCCACCTTTGCCTCCCAGAGTGGTAGGATTAACAGGTGTGATCCACAGATCACTTTAAAATTCTTACAGAACTTAAAGAATTTAGATGTATGGCCAGTTAAACAGGATTAGGGAAAAAGAATGTACATTTGTGAGTGCCAGCACTTTATGTACTTTATGTCAGTTAATCCTTTGAAACTTCCACAGGTAGGTAGGTATTGTACAGGTGACAAAATTGACGATTAGAAAGGTAAGTTTATTCGCCAAAGATATAAAGCTTGTTAGAGTCTCTTAGCTCTTAGGCTCACACACAGCAATGGCTGTGTAACAGTGTGCACTTTAGCTTTTGTCAGCTGTATTTTCTTTTCTTCATGGCAATTATTCTCCAGACTATAGACTATTTGCTCTAGATAGTTTGGAACAAAAAGTTTTGGTTCAGCATACGTGTTCAACCTGGGGTTTGTGTTCTTTCCCTTTCTCGCCCGGGCTGTATTTCTATTTAAACACCATTGTAGTAAAAAAAAAAAAAAAAATATTTGGCTTTCCATTACTATGCTTATTTTCTTAGGGTTATACAGTGTGTCGTGTGTGTGCAATGTATTTAATTAAACAGAAAGGAAATGTTTGTTTAACAAAATAGGAAAGAAATGAAGATCATGGCAGATAAATTCATACTCGTAATACATTATTTATTTCTTTTATGTATCTGGACTCCTGGGTAGGTCAGGATCAAGGATTTCAGTGCCGTGAGTTAAGCGGTAGTGGTGGTGGTTGGAAGTAGTAACAGTAAAAACAAGGTCAGCAGCAGCAGCAGGAATAAACATTGAGCTGTGATCATGTGCATGTGTGTGTGTTACTATGTTTCCAAGTCTTTTATTTGTATTAGCTTTTTTTGGTTTTTTTTGGGACAGAGTCTCACTCTGTTGACCAGGCTAGAGTGCCATGGCGTCAGCCTAGCTCACAGTCCTCAGCCTAAAATTAATTATAACCTGGAAAGTATGATTCTTTGAGAACTGAGATAACTCACCCAGATAGCTTTTTTTTTTTTTTTGAGACGAGGTCTGTCTGTCACCCTGGCTAGAGTACAGTGGCAGCATCATAGCTCATTGCAACCTCAAACTCCTGGGCTCAAGCAATCATTCTGTCTCAGCCTCCCAAATAGCTGGGACTAGAAGTATATACCACCATGCCTGGCTAATTTTTTCTCTATATATTTTTAGTTGGCCAATTAATTTCTTTCTATTTTTAGTAGAGACAAGTGGAGGGGGTGTGTGGGGGGTGTCTCACTCTTGTCAGGCTGCTCTCAAACTCCTGACCTTGAGCAATCCTCCTGCTTCGGCCTCCCAGAGTGCTAGGATTACAGGCATGAGCCACCACGTCCGGCCTGTATTAGTTTTTTAAATTCTCTCAATAATCCTAGGAGGCAAGCGTTGTTATCTCCATTTTATAGATGAAGAAATTGAGGCACAGAGAGGGTAGAAAACTTGCCCAAGGTGCACTGACTTGGCAGTTTTAACTCTGAATTAATTGAATTTATATTGTTAATCAATTAAATTGATAGGGAAAAGCCCCCGCTAGGGGGCCCTGAGACAGAATCCACTGCTGATTGGATACACGTGAAATTTATGGCTGATCCTGCAATCCTACTGTTAATTGGATAATTTTGCATGCTCATAGTTGATTGGTTGTGTGTGACCCAAGAAATGTATAAGACTGGAGAGAAATAAGGAAGCGGTGCTCAGAATTTGGTGGTATGCCCCTCTGAGTCCGCCGGCGAAGTAAAAGCTGATTCTCGGACCCTCTGTGTGCCGCTGGGTTCTTTCCCTGGTCATTCGCTGTAATGCTTGCCAGAACAAAATACATAAGTGAAATATTTCTCAGTTAATGTGTTACCTCCCTTCCTGGCATTTGGGCTCATTGCACTTTCTAGGAGCATTGGTAACAGATTATCATCAATGTAAAAGTGACTAGGTCTAGTGAGATTATACGTAAGTCATTTGAATTACTGAGGTATTCAAGGAACTAAAGCAGTCCTTAATATGTGTTGTTAACAATAATATTTTTAAAATGCAGGCATGAAAATATTACAGGTTCATAAAAGTGCTTTATTCTACAGAATTTCATTGAAATTGAAAATTTCATATGTTTAAATCCTGGCTGGGGAAATATGTTGTTTCCGGTTACAGCAAAGAGGGGATTTTAGAGGGGCTTGGAAGTTGTGCTTATAGGTAGAGCAAACATCTTTTCTGTTTAGCAAGCAGTGATACTATATTCTAAAATTGTGTTTTGCAGGAAGAAAGTTTCAGCTAATAGACATAATATTTTTATAAATTTGGGGAAATTTTTATTGGCTAAGAAATATTGCTCTATAATACATTTTAATGCTTTTATACTCATTATTTTTTCCCCCTTCTTTTTTATAGTTCTTCACCAAAGGACATGGATGAAAATGAAAACAACCAGTCCCTGGTGACTAGCAACCAATATCCTAAAGAAGCAGTAAGAAAACGCCAAAATTCAGCACAGAATTCTGGAGGAAGTGATTCTTCTAGGTTTTCCAGGAAAAGCTTCAAACTGGATTACAGACTAGAGGAAGATGTAACCAAATCAAAGAAAGGAAAAGATGGGAGATTTGTTAACCCTTGGCCAACATGGAAAAATCCCTCAATTCCAAATGTTCTCAAATGGCTGATAATGGAGAAAGATCACAGCAGCATTCCACGTTCTAAAGAGGTAGTGCTTGACTTTTTGGAGTGCTTTGTATTTACTCTTTTTTTTTTTCTTTTTTGAGACACAGTCTCGTTCTATTGCCCTGGGTAGAGTACAGTGGCTTTATCATAGCTCACTGCAGCCTCAAACTCCTGGGCTCAAGTGATCCTCCTGCCTCGGCCTCCCAAGTAGCTAGGATTGCAGGTGTATGCCACAACACCTGGGTAATTTTTTTATTTTTTGGTAGAGACCAGATCTTGCTCCTGTTCAGGCTGGTCTCAAACACCTGGCCTCAAGCAATCTTTCTGCTTGTTAGCCTTGCTTTGTTAGCATTACAGGCGTGAGCCACCACGCCTAGCCTGTATTTACTCTTTGTACATATGTACTTGGCTTAGCTGTGAATTGTATTTTGACACTCAAGTTAGTTAATTGATCCCCTCCCCCATTTTTTTATTTTTTTATTTTTTGAAACGGTCTCACTTTGTTGCCTAGACTAGAGTGCAGTGGCATATCATAACTCAACTGCAACCTCAAACTCTTGGGCTCAATTGATCTTTCTACCTTAGCCTCCTGAGTAGTTGGGACTATAGGCAAACGCCACCACATCTGGCTATTTTAAAAAATGTGTAGAGGCTGGATATGATGGCTCATACTTATAATCCTAGCAGTTTGGGAAACCAACGCAGGAGGATTGCTTGAGGTTAGGATCATTGGAGACCATCCTGAGCAAGAATGAGACCCTATTTCTATAAAATATAGAAAAATTGGCCGGACAGTGGTGGCACATGCCTATAGTCCTAGCTGCTCTAGAGGCTGAGGCAGGAGGATTGCTTAAGCCTAGGAGTTTGAGGTTGCAGTGAGCTATGATAATGCCACTGCACTCTAGCTGGGGTGACAGAGTGTGAGACCCCTATCTTTAAAAAAAAAAAAAAAAAGTTTTTTTTTTTTTTTTAGAGATTGAGTCTTGCTGTGTTGCCCAGGCTGGTCTCAAATGATCCAACCATTTCAGCCTCCTAAAATGCTAGGATTATAAGCATGAACCACTATGCTTGCCCCGTTGAACTCTTTTATATGATAACACACAGGATTAGGTTCTGGGGAGATAAAGTAAATAGGTATAACCTGTGCCCAAAGTTAATATTTGAGCAGCAAATTGTATATGTGAATAACCAACTGTGATCTGGTGGCAACCAGAGGTAGGGACAGAGTGCTTTGTAGGTATAGGAAAGGAAGTGATGGGTGCTGACAGGTAGAGTGGGAGATGGCTTCATGGAAGAGGTGATATTTGAGCGGGGCCTTGAAAGCTAAGAAGTATTTTGGCAGTGGTTGTTCAGGTAGATGAAGGCATGAACAAGGTCACAAAGATGAGAAAGTATATGATGTGTTCTAGGAAGTAGTAACTAGATGTGTGTTTGGAATATGGATTATGAGGGTGGTGGCATGGCCTACAGTGCCTGGCTTTCAGTCTTTGGGTAAGGCAACCAAAGCTAAAAAAGGAACCTTCAGATAATAACCTCTTTGGACCTTTGAAAATTGACAATAGGTTCCTAGCCTTTAAATGTGCTGGTTTTACTTAGAATGAAACTTACTAACATTTGGCATAAAGTATTAGATGAGTGAATTAGAAAGTATTTGGCAGAAAGTATTAGATTGGTTACCAATTGTAGAAGCACCTTTTTTTCCTTTCTTAGTTTCTAACCACCTCCCTCCCCCAAATCTTAGGCTTTTCTTATCTGCCAGCCCCTGTCCTGCCAGTCTTTGTAGTAAGTTGAGAAATAAGGAATGTGACATCCTGGGTGGGGTGCAGTATGAAAAGAGTGGCAGCATCCTGAAGTCTTGGTCTTCAGTGGGAAGAGGCAGGAAGGTGTGGGGGTGAGGGTAGGTGAAAGTGTTGGGTGGTGGTATTGGTGTTAGATCTTCTTGGTAAATATGTCCATTTGTCTTTGATATCACTTAGATGCTAGGAATGTTCATAGTATTATTCCTAGTTATCAAAATTGATTAATGTGAATTTTTTAGCATCTTTTAGATTGAGGCAGGACATTAATAGATGAAACCTTATATGTTTTCAGCTCTGAGAATGGGACAAAGGAACAAGAAAGGTTTTTTTTCTCCCGCTTCTTTCCCCTTTCTCTTGAAGAACACCACAAGAAGAGAAATACATTGTCAAGCTGTGAGGAGAAGAGTTAGGGCAGGAGGCCAAGATCGGTAGGCTATATGTGGAGGTCAGTTTCTTTCTAGTTTTTGAGCCACAGCTTCTAAAAATACAGAGGTTAGTAATGATGTCTTTAGTTTTGTTTCAGTTCAACAAGTAAGTGACCACATTAAGGTGGAAATACATCTCTCCATTCTAATGATTTGAGAAATACCGTAGAAATGGGATTGAATCTCATTGAATCTCTGAGGACTCACCAGGCTAGTGGTTCTTAAGTTCTTTTGGATACCAGCCTCTTTTTTCTTGAGACAGGGTCCCGCTTTATTGCCCAGGCTGGAGTACAGTGGCTTGATCATAGCTCACTATAACCTTGGAATCCTGGGATCAAGGGATCCTTCTGCCTCAGCCTCCCAAGTAGTTGGGACTACAGGTGCTCACCACCACACCCGGCTAATTTTTTTTATTTTTTGTAGATACAGGGTCTCACTGTGTCGTCGACCCTGGTCTTGAACTCCTCAAGTAATCCTCCTGCCCTGGCCTCCCAAACTGCTGAGATTATAAGTGTGAGGCAGCACACCTTGCCTATTTATATTATATCATATTATAGTATATTGTATTTAAATATATAAATATGAAAGTATTTTAGAACAAACTTGATGAAAGTATAAACTGACAGAATAGGACAAAATACAATGAAAATGGGTCTTAAGCATAGCTACCCAATTTAGTTGCCTGCTTAAAACAGTGTTTCTTTACTTGGACCATTCCTGATTGTGGCCTCATGGGGGCTTTCTTTCTTCTTTTTTTTTTTTTTTATTAATGTAATTTTTTTAATGCTTATATTTATTTATTTATTTATTTTATTTCGGCATATTATGGGGGTACAGATTTTAAGGTTTCAATAAATGCCCATTTCCCCCCCTCCCCCCACAAGTCTGAGTCTCCATCATGACCATCCCCCAGATGGTGCACATCTCACTCATTATGTATGTATATACCCTCCCCCTCTTCCCCCTCCTACCTGCCCCAATACCCTATTACTGTAGTACCTATGTGACCACTTAGGTGCTGTTCAGTTAATACCAATTTGCTGGTGAGTATATGTGGAGCTTGTTTTTCCATTCTTGGGATACTTCACTTAATAGTATGGGTTCCAGCTCTAACCAGGAAAATATAAGATGTGCTATGTCACCATTGTTTCTTAGGGCTGAACTGGCTTTCTATATACTGTTATTTCCTTGCCTCCCATGGCTTCTTAACGCACACAATTTTCCTGGGGGAAAGACCCTCAGCATGGGGCTGTATCTGGGCTGACACCCTCCAGGGTCTCTGCCAGCTCCTGTGCTGGGGGCTGCGTTCACCAGCCTTCTGGGCTCTTTTGCCTCTTCCTTGTTGGCCCCCCGTCTTCTGCATCCCACTTGTTCCCCTTCTCCGTCATTTTCTTATTTTGGTGGAGCACATTTTTAATGTGCTTCCTGAGAAAGGGTACATGGAAAGCATGTTTTTTGAAACTTTGCTTGTCTGACATGTCTGTCTTCTCTTGATTGATAGCTTGGGTGTAGGATTTTAGTTTGGAAACTGTTTTCTCTCAGACTTGACAGCACCACTCCTGTAACTTTCTTTTTAGTATTGCTGTGGAGAATTTCAGTAGTATTCTTATTCTTGATCCTTTATACATGACCTTTATTTTCTTTCTAGAAACTTTGAGGATCATCTCTTTGGCACTGCTGTTCTGAATTTTTGCCATAAGATGTAGTTTTTTAAATTTATTTGTTATGCTCAGTACCTGGTGGGGCCTTTTAGTCTGAAAATGCATTTCCTTCAATTCTAGGAAATTTTCTTATCTATTTCTCTGAAAATTTCCGTCACTCCATATTTTCATTCTAAAATGATTATTAGTTATTTTAGTTCTATTTTGCACCTCCTAGGTCAGTTCTGTATAATTTTTAAAAAACTGTCCTATATTTTATCTTCTGTTATTTTTTAAAATTCTACATTCTGAGCAATTTCATCAAGAATTTATTCACTTCTTTTTTAAATACTTTACTATGTGTCTCATAGAGTTGTAGTGCTGGGTGAAAATGTCACAATATACAGTTTTTTAAAAAAGACTAGAAAATATGAATACTATATGATATTAACCATGCATTAAATAGAATTATAAGTAAAGATAACCACTGTTAATAGTGGTTATAATCTCTGCATGTTGATATAATGGATGGCTACTCTTTATATTTTTATGTATTTTCCAAATATTTTATGGAGAACATTTTCTCCTATAATCAAGAAGGAGTTCAAAAATACTAAGTCATTTTGATGGATCTTGGGTTCTTTGATGGATCTGGGTTCTTTCCCTGGTCAATCACTATAATACTTGCCGCAACACTGTAACTTCTCTAATTCTTTGTTTTCTTATCTGTAAGGTGGAGGTAGTTAATAGTACCTACTGCCAGTGTTATGGTCAATATTAAATTAAGAAATTCTTATAAAAAAGTTAGTACAGTGTCTAGCATATAGTAAGCATTCCGTAAATGGTAGCTATTGTTAATATTATTTTGTGTTATATTAAAGTGCTTGATATATTAGATAATTCATCATCATCATTATGTGCCTAGTCTGATGCCAGACATGGTAGGTAATCAATTTATATTCATTCCTTCTCCCTTTTCTCCTTAATTCTTGATAAGTCTGCCATATGACATTTGTTATTCACTAAAGTACCAAATTTGAGAGCCAACTGAAAAATTGATGTTCATTTATTTACTCATTCGTTCAACAAATTTTATTGAGCATGTCACTGAGACATGGTGAATGAATGATTCCAAGTTGCATAAGACATGGGATGAATTCTATATACATATAACCAGAGTATCCAGAAATGTATTAACAGAGAGGCATAGAAGTTGAGAGCCAGGAGTGAGTGCTTCCGGCTGTGGAAGCACTTTTCATTCCTTCTTACAAGGCTGTAGCATGTCTTATATTTTATTTAATTACTTATACAATACCACACCCTTTAAAAATTGATTTCTAGCAACTTATAAAAATACACATAGCAGTAAAAAACAAATGGATGAGCATATAAGAGCACGTGTACTATTAGGGTAGAAAAATAAAGCCAAGAATAAAGTTGGTACAGAAATACTTTCCAGCATGCCCTGCACATTGCTGGAGGTGGCCTCAGCTTTTACTTTGAACTTCCTAGTTATGGCAAAGAGAGAAGCATGAAATGTTATGAGTTAGGTTCCCAGTGCCAGTCAAATGATAAAGCCAGTTGCTCTGGAGAAGAAGAGATTTTCTTGTTATTGAGGACTGAGAAAAAGTTTCTGGGGTAAGTGGGAAAGTAGAAGTAGTACCAAGTATTCAGCCCAAATATATACGTGGCAGGTTTCATGAGGCAGCTTCCCATGAGACCTCAGCACAGCTGTATAGCATGACACCAGAGCACAGTTTTATAAAAGCCAGGTCTGTGACCCTAAAGCATAGTTTTTTTGTTGGCCTAACTTAATCCAAGTATAAAATGTAGAATAATCAAGGAATAATACTTATCACCCTTTGTTGGGGTTATCGTTTTACATCTATTTACCACCCCTTCCCCAAATATTTAGCTTCTCACCGGCAGGGATCCTATTTCACTTTGGTTTGATCAGTGGTAGAAAACTGGAAGACTGTTTATGACTGTGATTTGCCCAAGGATCATCACAGTGCTGTACTTTGAATTATATGTACTCAAGGTCAGATTCATATCTGAGATCCATGAGCTACAAATACATGGTCATAAGATTTTTTTACTGTTGCCAAGAACTGCCCTGCTTTTGAGGCAGTTTTCAGCAGCATGCACACCAGCGGAGTGAAATGGTGATACAAAAGTGACTGCATCCATCTGGGCCAGACTGCTTCTGCCACTACCAAAGAAAGCCCTTAAAAAAATTGATACATTTGGCAGTACTCAAAGTTTCCAATTTAATTTTCCCTTTGCCTATTGCATTTGGGATGAAAAAGATTACTATATTATCATGATTGTTAAGTCAGATTCAGAAAGAAGTTTGCATTTCAAGGAAAAGGCAAAAATAGAAAGTTTATTGAATGACTTCAGTTCTACCAAAATAGCCTTTCTTGCTATAATTTAGGTCAAAATACAGTCTTTGATGATGTAATACCTTTTTTTCTAACTGCTATTTTGTCTTTCTTTATATACCTAGGAACTGGACAAAGAACTCCCAGTGCTAAAGCCATATTTTGTCACTGACCCTGAAGAAGCTGGAGTGCGGGAAGCTGGCTTGAGAGTCACGTGGCTGGGGCATGCCACAGTGATGGTGGAGATGGATGAGCTCATATTTCTCACGGATCCCATCTTCAGCTCTCGAGCCTCACCGTCCCAGTACATGGGTCCAAAGCGATTTCGGCGTCCCCCGTGCACGATAAGTGAACTCCCCCCGATAGATGCAGTCCTTATCAGTCACAACCACTATGACCATCTGGACTACAGTTCTGTCATTGCTTTGAATGAGCGATTTGGTAATGAGTTGAGATGGTTTGTGCCTTTGGGTCTCCTCGACTGGATGCAAAAATGTGGTTGTGAGAATGTGATTGAGCTGGACTGGTGGGAGGAGAATTGTGTCCCCGGACATGATAAGGTCACCTTTGTCTTTACGCCTTCCCAGCACTGGTGTAAAAGGACTCTAATGGATGACAACAAGGTTCTGTGGGGCAGCTGGTCTGTCTTGGGGCCTTGGAATCGGTTTTTTTTTGCAGGAGATACTGGTTATTGCCCTGCTTTTGAAGAGATAGGAAAAAGATTTGGACCTTTTGACCTTGCAGCTATTCCCATTGGAGCTTATGAACCAAGGTATGTAGACTTCCAACAAAACATTCTGGCTGTGTGATAAGTTAACTGAACTTAAAAGTAGTTATGACTTTGTGATACTGTGTAATTCGTGATTTTCATGGTAAACCTTATTATACATCGGGGGTTGGTGGGTCAGATTCGATTACTCTTTTTAAAATTTAAAATATTTTAAGTTAAAAAAATTTTAAATTGACAAAAATTGTATATATAGTGTACATGATGCTTTGATATATTTATATGTTGTGTAATAATTAACTCAAGCTATTTAACATATGCATTATCTCACATACTTATCTTTTTTTGTGATGAGAATTAACTGATTGGCCAGTAATCAAATCAAACCTAATTCTTGTTCTTTCTTTGACATGGAGAATACTTTTTTTTTTCCCCCAGAGGTAGGGTTTTACTCTGTCACCCAGGCTGGAGTGCAATGGCATAATCACAGCTTTACTGCAGACTCCTGGGTTCCAGTGATCCTTCTGCCTCAGGCTCCCAAGTAGCTAAGACTATAGGAGCCACCACCACACCCAGCTAATTATTCTATTTTTAGTTAGGACAAGGACAAGGTCTCACTATGTTGTACAGGCTGGTCTCAAACTCCTGGGGCCTCAAGCAGTCCTCCCACTTCAGCCTCCCAAAATGCTGGGATTGCAGGCATGAGCCACTGTGCCTGGCCTTTCTTTACATCGCTCTTTTTGCTCCATGGCTGGAATGCACCAATCCCCTGTCCTATAGCTCTCCTATGTTTAGCCGAGAGAAAAAACAAGGCAGTAGTCTATGGCATTAGTCCCTTGTGATGGTCTTATCTCGGTCAGCACTGAAGCTGATCTCGTTATGACATTTTTTCATTACAGCTCTTTCTCCAACCTTGACATATACTCATCACATATCTTTAGAGAAGCTAAAGGTCACACTGTCATTGGAGAGCTAGGAAATTGATTCATTGTCTTTGTTTTTCTTAATACTATCTGTTTAGGGAAAAGAGAAGTGATTTCAAAGAATTCAGTTAGATTTCAGTCAACTTTGGTTTATGTGTACAAGTAAAGAGAAGATAAATACTGATAGTAACAAAATAAGGGGTAATTTTAAAAGTGTTTTATTTGACTGGTGTGGCAGCTCATGCATGTAATCTAAGCACTCTCAGAGCCCGAGGTGGGAGGATTGCTTGAATCCAGGAGTTCAAGACCAGCCTGGGCAACACAGTGAGACCCCATCTCTACAAAAAAAAATTTTTTTTTTTTTTGAGACAGAGTCTCACTCTGTTGCCCAGGCTAGAGTGCCGTGGTGTCAGCCTAGCTCACATCAACCTCAAAGTCCTGGGCTTAAGCAATCCTTCTGCCTCAGCCTCCCAAGTAGTTGGGACTATAGGCATGCGCCCACCATGCCCAGCTAATTTTTTCTATATATTTTTAATTGGCCAATTAATTTCTTTCTATTTTTGGTAGAGACGGGGTCTCGCTCTTGCTCAGGCTGGTTTCAAACTCCTGACCTTGAGCCGTCCTCCCACCTCAGCCTCCCAGAGTGCTAGGATTATAGGCGTGAGCCACCGTGCCCAGCCTCTACAAAAAATTTTTAAAAATTAGCCAGGCGTTGTGGTGTGCACCTGTAGTTCCAGCTCCTCGAGAGGCTGAGCAGGAGGATTGTTTGAACCCAGGAGTTGGAGGCTGCTGCTGTGAGCTGTGACCATGCCACTGCACTCCAGTCTGGGTGACAGAGTGAGACACTGTCTCAAAAAAAAAGTTTTATTCTACAGTATATGCACAGATACATACAAATGCATTTTATTTAGGTAATCCTATAAGAAGAAGAACAAGTATTTCTCTATTACATAGATGAATTATATGAATCTGATCTTTCTTTCTTGATTTTGTCATACTTGTTATCTTTTTAGGTTCACTAAAACTATTTTTCCCCTGTCTTTATTAATGCTTATTGCTCCTTTTTGTGTTTTTTGCTAATTTTCTTATTTTGGGAGCTAGATATTTTTTACCTTTTTTGGTTCCTGATAATTATTAAAATTATTATAAATCAATAGTAGTACTTGAATTTCCCTTTCCAGTTAAATAATTATAATTCTTATATAAACTTCTCACAACATCAATCAACCTGTATATTTTTTAGAACAGTTACAAATCAATTTCATATGGTATTGGGCTTTATTCAATATGCATTCTTAATATGTTAGAGTATCTCTTATTTATAATTATGAAAATAAATTTTCATATGTAGCTGTATATAAATTTGTCACTTCATGATGATAAAATGTATATAACCAATAAACACATATTTATTCACATATTTCCTCCTTCCTGCTTGCATTGCAGCCATCTTGCTTCTGAGATGAGAAAAGGACAGGAGACTATTATTTGCCCTTAGTGAGTTAAGTTGTGGTAACCTGTACTATGTAATCTATTTCTCTGGTCAGTACTGACAGTTTTAGAAATAAGATTATCCATTCAACAAATGTTGAGAGTGTTCTATAAATGCAAGATGATTACACCAAAAACAACTTTCAGTGACATGCTTGGAATGTTTCATTCTTACTTTGGAGATCTCTGTAACCAGGTTTTATCCAGTCAATTAGGATTTTAAGGTTTTATTTTAATTGTTACATCAGAGTAAAGACTTTAAATTTATTTCAGATAGACATGAGGATAGAAAGGAATACATCTATCACTTTGATTTGCAGTAGGATTAAAAATAATAACAATAGAAACTGCAAAAACTGTTTTCATCTTGCCCTGAATTCTGAGTGTCAGGAGATAGGGCAGAACAGTGCTTCTCTAATCCTCTGTTGAGAACACAGTGGCTTTGTTTTTAGGCTCCCACAGGACCCAGCAACTCCTAATAGTAAATAACAACACTCTAGCGGTTGCAGATGGATGAACTTCTCCATGATGTGTTCTGTATATGCAGTGCTGAAGTCCCTGTGCTGAATTCATATCTATTGGTCCTCATTATAGTGTTAGTTGGCAGTGGTAGACCAGGATATAAATAATGGGAAGACAATGTTGCATTTCCTCCTCTAAACTGATGGTTTGGAAGGTTAAGGATTTGCTTGTAGACAGTACACTTTTTCCTTTGCATCAGAAGTAATCATTCTTTCTTCTGAGAGTGTTGATTTTGCCACTCTTTACTCTTTTGGGAGAATTCTGTGAAGTGGGTACTATACTTGATACTTCCATAAACTTCGTCTTGTTTAATCCTCACAACACCCTTACAAGATGGGGCTACATTTATATTTCACAGACAAGGAAATGGAAGCTCAGAGAATTTGAAGGGACTTTCTAAAAGCATGCCAGGTACTGCTGGAGCTGGGATTCACACCCAAGCCTTCTGCCTCCTGAGCCCTTGTTGTTCCCAAGGCATGAGGCAGCCATTCATTGTTTCCACAATGTCTCCAATCATTCACCCAATAGTCTTCTCTTCTTGCCAAACCAAACACCTCATTGTTCAGTTTTGTGATGTGTAAATAAAATTCCTTGAATAGTAATTGGATTTTTTTGTTCCTGATCTTTAAATTTTATGTACTAAGTTTTGTTTGCTTTTTGCCTTAGTAAGTTAAAAAAAATTCCTATCAGCAGGACATTCAGGTTCTTTTGCAGTTGAAGTTTTGGTTTTCAGTTCTTTACCCATTATTATGTTTCTTTGGTTTATATCCAGGACTGTAAATTGTCTACTTTGTAAATGAACAGTAAGTTTTATCTTCAGATAAATCATCAATCAAATTATACATGAAACAAAATTTGTTCAGAGGGGAGTTTTACTTGAGATTTGTTTATCATACAACAATTTGTACAATAAAGAATTTTGCTTGTTTTATTTTTCAGTAGAGGAGTGGACTAAAGGGAGACACTTTTGCCTGTTGTGACTTAAGCCTGTGTGGAATCTGTTTTGTTGTCCTTTGTTTTTCCAATCTAGCATTGACCTGCCCTCCAGACTTGATTTCTGGCTTATCCTCCCCTGCATTATATATGTTCCATCTCTTTGGTTTTCTACTCTGGCTACACATGGGACTCAGCCTGGGAGGCTTTATAAAATGCCAGTGCTGAGGTCCCACCCCAGAAAAATTAAAATCAGAATCACTGAGAGTGCACACTAGTCAGCAGTATTTATTAAAACTTCTGTAGATGAGTCCAGTGCGCCTGGATGAATCCAATGTGAGGTCAGTGGCTGGAAAGTATTTGAAAGGACCACTACTGCATGTTGCTGCTTCTGTTGGCAAAATAGCTTAATTGTTAGGTGTGCTGATTTGAAAGCAAACAAAAAGAACGGGACAGGGAGTGAAAATGAAAATAACCACGCTGATTATTTCTCAAACATCCACATTCCTGTGCAGAATCTTAAAAGTTGATTAAATGAAGCAGTATTTAGAATTTAGTGGATATTTCAAAGGCCAGAATTAATAAATTGCTGTGTTTCATCAGGTGGTTTATGAAATATCAGCATGTAGACCCGGAAGAAGCTGTAAGGATTCACATTGATGTCCAAACAAAGAAATCTGTGGCAATTCACTGGGGAACTTTTGCCTTAGCAAATGAGGTGAGTTTGATTGTGATAAAAAGAACTTTATGTGTCAGATCAATGATAGGATTGATCTGTCCCCTAGTGGTGTTTTCAGACACCAGACTGTGGAATCAGACCATGCACAGGCATCACAGTCATCATATGTATTAGGATGATAAGTCATACTCATTAGCAAAACATTTATATACAGTGAAAAAGCCTCATTGTGTGTGTTTTTTTTTTTTTTTGGCTTATTTCTATTGTTAACGAAGCATGTGTTTTAGATAACCAAAAATCTGTGTATGTGGTCTGGGAATAGATAAACACGTCTGACCCCTCAAGGAGGCTCTTGTTCTAGCGAAAGATGGAAGACGTGTACGTAATAGAGATGTTGGAAGGGGAAAGTGCTGTCGTGGGACAGATGAAGTGGTCACTGATGGAAGGGATCAATGAGAGCTTCATGAACAAGTGACATTTGAACTTGGCTCTGAAAAGGCAAGGAGGCGAGCATTTCCAGAGGAGGAAAGGGCAGAGCATAGCCTCAGAGGTGGTAAGCATGGGGAACAGTGAGGAGTCAGTTCAGCAGGAGAATGGAGAGCTTGGAGGGCGATGGGAAAAGTAAGGCTAGACAGACAGTGTGGAACTTTCTAGAAGTTATTCACTCAGTAAACATTGATTCAGCGTCTGCTATGTGCCAGGCATGAGATATATGTGGTTTTATTCCCAGACTAAAACAGAAGAGCTGATTTTTTCCTTAGGGGAGCTAGATCCTAGAGCTCTACTATAATCCAAGGTTCTGGGATCAAATTAGAGGATGGCATAAAGCTTTCTCTCCTTTCCTGGGTCAAGGGCCTGCCTGAGCAAAATTTAGAAATGGATAGTTAGAACTTGGCTTCTTTGCTTTCTGTGTCATCTTCCACATCCCAGGGCCTCTCTGCAGGAATCCAGTGTTTTCTTGCTGTTTCGAGCATTCCCCTTATCTCATTTCTGACCAGCCCTCTCCCAGAGATGCAGCCTGGTCCAGAATTACCTAATACATTGCCTGCCTATTCCCCCTCCCCCAATCAAAATTCCTATCCAGTGATGCAGCATCCCTGAGCTGTGATGCAGCAACCCTGGGCTGTGATGCAGCAATTCTTAGCCACACTGTTGGGAGAGGGAATAGAATGGATAAATGAATAACCACCAGGGGTGGGGAGGATGAATGAGAATGTAAATATGTGTGTGTGTGTGTGTGTGTGTGTGTGTGTGTGTGTGTCTTTAGGGAAGGGAGATGTTTGAGACTGGTTTCCAGTGGCATACCACTATATTTGGTGGCAGTTTCTTATTCCATATATGTGCAGGTATGTGTATATGTTCCATATATATATATATATCAGTGTCTTAGATGAAGTAATGGTATTTTATTAAACCTATGCAAAGAAAGGAATCAAGGTTGACATTTAGATTTTTAGCTTGAGTAATTGGGTAGATGGTTATGCTGAGAAAAAGATCAGAAACCTAAGAATTCTTCAAGAATTATTGTGTTATTCATCCTTTAATAACTATTCCTGTTATAAATCTAACCTCCATCTTTATTTCTTAATGAGACATGTAATAAAAACTCATTTAGCCTTCAGCAATTTGGAATTTGTTCACATTTTGATGTTAGTTGAGTAATAAACTCAACAGCTATGAAATTGTTACATTATAAAGTAGATGGAATTTTAGAGAGGACAGTTAGCTTGTGATTTCTAAATACTTTACGAATTTTTGCATATAGACTGTTACAATAGCTGCTTACTATAAAATAAACTGATAAGGATGTCCTTCACTTGGCAACACTCTAAAATCGCATATATAGCAATACCTAATTTATCTGGGGGATGATGAGTAGATTTCTTAAATGATGTATTTAAGCACTAACACTTAAATCACTATTTTTGATGGAAACAGATTTCAGGTATTACATAACGTATGTGTTAACTTTTGAGTAACTAGGGTCTTTATTTTGCATATATTCTATTGTAGTAGATTATAAAACAGTGACCCCCTTAGGAGTTGCTGTGCCAGTGATGGATCCAGAGTGCTGGGAGCTTGTCTGCATTCCCCATTTGCTCATATTGATCTCTGACCTATTGTCTTGTTTTATAGGTATGTAGTTGTTTGGTCCCATGGCCATGGGGCATTTTTACCTGCCTTGTGGACTAAAGTGCTCAGATGACCAGATAGAGCTCTCAGTCACTCGAAAGCCTCTCTTGCCTATTTCCATTGTTACCTGTTAGATGGTTGAAACAGTCAAGAATTGACTTATGAAGAAACTCAGAAAGATACTGCTAAATCTGGGCAGATTAAAGACAAAGGGTCTGCTGCCAACTAAAACATCATCAAAATCCACACCACATCATGCTCTATACTGAAGTTACAGTTTAGCAAGGAAGTTTATTAGTGTAGGGTGATTGTATATGTGTATTGTTGGCTAAGACTCGTAGAGCATGGGAGAAAAATCATTTAACAAGAATTTCATCATTTTGAAATCTCTTAAAATAAAAAAATTTAGGCAATTATTTTGAGAAAAATCTTGACTTAGGCTATTATGTAAAGTTAACTTTTATTGGTAATATATTAGTGATCTCTTTTCTATATATAAAAAAATAGGCTAAAAGTAGATTCCTGTTATCTATCCATTCATAAGTAACAAAGGTATAGTTAAAACTTGACTTACTCAGTAGTCAGTTGAAAGGCATCCTTGATCATCCTTTAAACACAGCCATAAACCTGGAAGTGAGCAAGGAAGGAAAAAGAAGAGCTGTGTGTGGCCTGTAACTATTACCAAACCCGTGCCTTTAAAATTAAACCTCAAGAAACTTCCCTGGTTTTCCTAGTCCATCATTGACTGTCCTTTTTTTTTTTTTTTTTTTTAAATTAGGGGAGAGTGTGAATGCAGTCCCCAACTACTACAAATTATACAGTTGGGTTCCCACATTTGGGGAAATCGCAGGGGTCAGCACATCTGCAGTCTAATGGATGTGCCTTGGCTGTCCCTTCTTAGTCTCTGTTGCTAGTTCCTCATCTCCCTTCTCTCCAAACACTGAGTGCCTTAGGAATCAGTCTGTCAACCTCTTCTTTTCTCTAGTTGGTTACTTCCTTGGGGATGGAATCTAGTCTTATGGCTTTAAATACCATCTGTCTTCTGTACCTCTCTAGTTTAGAATTTTACCCACTATGATCCACATTTAGATATCCAACTGCCTACTTGACATCTCCACTTGCATGCCTATTAGGTACCTAGAACTAAATCTGAAATCCAACTTCCTCATCTTCCCTCAAACTTATTTATTATACATCTCAGTAAAGGGCAACTCTCACTTTCCAGTTACTTAGGCCAAAATCTTTTTTTTTTTTTTTTTTTTTGAGACAGAGTCTCGCTCTGTTGCCTGGGCTAAAGTGCCATGGCGTCAGCCCAGCTCATAGCAACCTCAAATTCCTGGGCTGAAGCAATTATCTTGCCTCAGCCTCCCAAGTAGCTGAGACTACAGGCATGCACCACCATGCCTGGCTAATTTTTTCTATCTTTAGTAGAGATGGGGTCTCACTCCTGCTCAGGCTGGTCTGGAACACCAGAGCTCAAGCAATCCTCCCGCCTCGGCCTCCCAGAGTGCTGGGATTACAGGTGTGAGCCACTGCACCTGGCAAGACCAAAATCTTGATTCCTCTTTCTCTCATATCATCCATCCAGTACCCTCCTCCTCCCACACAATCAACTCAACCTTCAGATTATATTCACAATTTGACCACTTCTCACCACCTTCACTGCTACCATTCTGCTGTTCTAAACACTATAGAGGGCAGTGACTTTACAACTTGAAGCAGATCATGACACTCCTCTGCCACCGGGATCTGGTAACTTCCCATTACAGTTGGAGTCAAAGCCTCAGCTCTCATGGTTTTCTGCAATGCCCTATGCAGTCTGCTCCATCAGGTCTCTGCTCAAATGCCCCCTTCTTGGAGACTTCTTAGACTGTTGTATTTAAAGTTAAATTTCTACCCCTCTACCCCCCCCCCACTTAGCACCCTCTACCTTTACTATCCCCAGAACCTATCAATCACTCAGCATCTATTTTCTTATTCATTTCTTATCTATTTCTGTCTTAGACTAGAAGCTCCATAAAGGCAAGGATTTTTGTTTGGTTCTCTAGCCTGGCATGTTCTGTAGGCACTCAAAAGATACTTGTTGCCTGGGGAGAGGCAGATTTCCCACAAGCGATTAGATCAAAGACTGATTTTTTTTTTTTTATTCCTGGTTTGTACTTGCACATTTTACAACTTTTCAAATTGAAACTAGGAAAAAACCCTTTGAATAAAGAAAAAATAGCTAGTATACAGTATAAAGATTTAGACCAAAAGAGAAATAACCGATGAAATGATTTACCATTCATTAATAAATTATTAAGATATTAAAAGGTATGAATACCTTTATTCCATATTCACATGGTCTCAATATATTTAGAAAACATTTGAGTGGGTGAAAACATTGTGAATCACACTGGGTGCTGTCTTCCCTTTTTATTGAGCTATGAAAAGGCGAGGAAATAAAGGGAAATATGGAAACCCCACCTGTCAAAGCTCTGTTCTCTGGGATCCTCTTTCATTCTATAGATTATGGTTTCTGTGTCTGGCTAGAGGTTTTAAAAGTAACCGTTCTTCAGCCAAAAATATTTGCTTTAGCATTTATTTATACACACATACACAATCACAGTTACACAATCTCAGATTTCTATGTTTTCCCAAATGTTGGTAACATTTAATTCTCTAATATCGTCTTTGGCATGGATTCCTATTTAGATCACAATTTCATATAGTGAAATAGTGATCAGTTTTCATGCAATCCAACAATGTTCAAGATGGTACCAAATTTGACATACATGGTGTTGGTGTTGATTGATTTCTATCCAACAATAAATATTTCTATTGACTTAATGACTCAGACGGTATTAGAAAATGTAGTAGACTCATTTGCTAATGCTTCAGTATAAAAAAAGGGCATTATTTTAACCAACCATCTGTTATTTTAGTTTGAATTCTTATTTGAAATATTCCTCAAATACACATCTTGTTAATCTTTTTCCATTTTTCTTCTCTCTGCTCTTTGCTAGCATTACTTAGAGCCTCCAGTGAAACTGAGTGAAGCTCTAGAAAGATATGGACTTAAGACTGAAGATTTTTTTATCTTGAAGCATGGAGAATCAAGATACCTAAATACAGATGATGAAAACTTTGAATAAATATGAGCACAGATGCTTTTAATGAAAAAGGCACCATCTGATATAAATTTGAAAACAAATGAAAAGACTAAGATATTATAAATATTATGATTTTTTAATTTGGAAACAACTGCAAGTTTGTGTTTTATGTTTTGTGTAATAATTTGCTTACCAATATGATTACCATCTCATAAACTGTGAAAGAAGGGTTTAGGGTGGGTTATTTAAATAATGAATTGGCTACTGTAGATTTTAAATCTTGTATCATGGTATAAGCATTCCATGGAAATTTTTTACTAAAGGCACTTTTGTGGTAGTAGAATTTTCTGGGGTTGTAAAAAACTGATATTAATTTGTTTTTTCTATCCTTCAGGACCTTCTACAAGGGGAGTCAAGGCTGTCTACCCACTTAGATTTTTTTCAGAGGCCTACACATACAAATACCTTTCTTATGCCGGGCGTGGTGGCTCATGCCTGTAATCCTAGCACTCTGGGAGGCTGAGGCGGGAGGATCGCTCAAGGTCAGGAGTTCGAAACCAGCCTGAGCAAGAGCCCGTCTCTGCTAAAATTAGAAAGAAATTAATTGGCCAACTAAAAATATATAGAAGAAATTAGCCGGGCATGGTGGCGCATGCCTGTAGTCCCAGCTACTTGGGAGGCTGAGGCAGAAGGATTACTTGAGCCCAGGAATTTGAGGTTGCTGTGAGCTAGGCTGACGCCACGGCACTCTAGCCTGGGCAACAAAGTGAGACTCTGTCTCAAAAAACCAACCAAACAAAAAAACCAAACCAAAACAAATACCTTTTGTGAATAACATTATAATAAATGATGAAATTGACTTCCACATGCTTAGAAACATAGCAGTTCTTGCTCTATCAAGATTAGCTTATATGCCAGATGTTAAAAATGTGATTTATTTTGGTAAGCACAAAAACATAGGGGTTAGTGCTAAGTTATCATTTTTAAAGACTTAAATTTTTTGTAGTAAAATGTACATAACATAAAATTTATCATTTTCACCATTTTTAAGCATACAGTTCTTTGGCATTAATGCAGCCATGACCACCGTAGAGATAAATTTTCAAAAGAGGGAATAGTATATTCTGTCGTACATCTACCATCTCTATATCAAAAGCCCTCTGAGTTGGGTAGAGGATGAGAAAGAGTATGGTTATAAAAATATGATTTATGCAATTTTCTGTTTTTAAATCTAAAAGACCTTCTGCTAAGCACAATGAAACATTTTACAGAGATAAATGTAGATATTAAATGTTAATAGACCATATGCTTTGAATTAAATTTTCTCTATTTTCTCTACACTCATTTTTTTTTCTGGTCTTTTAGCTCTAACTTTAAATATATCAAGATTTATATGTATTTTATGTTTTACATGATTCAGATGTCTTATATTTTTATAGTAAATGACCACTAAGCATGATTCTACCTTTTATTAAGCCAAGGTGGAATACCAATGTTTTTTTTTTTTTTTAAATTGATTTTTTTAAAAATCAATTCTGATTCAAATCAATTCTGATCAAATCTGATTCTGGGAGTCAGCTGACCTGAGATTTAGTCATAATAAGGGCTCTGTATTCACTTGATTACTCTGAACCTTCCTAGGGGAAGACGCTGGATTTGTCCTGTTGGAGGCCCTTTCTATGTTCCTGATCCAAGTTTCGGTACTTTATTTGTACAAAATAGTCAAAATGGGTTTTCTATACCAAATGCTACTCAGGCAGTGCTCTATATTTACTTGCACATATATATTCATGCCACGTTAGCCACTAAATCTGAATTTTAATCCTGCTTTCATCATGGATTTTCTGTGTAACCTGAAACAAGTCACTGATTGATGCTCATTGTGCCTCAGTTTCCTCACATGCAACAAGAGGATAATTTTGACCTACCTCCAAAAATGTGTAGACTACATAATGAAGTTTTTAAAAGCACTTTGAAATTATAAGGGAAAAGATGATTTCTTAAGGTATCACTGACTAATATAAATAGGTACATTTGAAAGTTGAAAATAGGCTAATCCTTTTGATAATCTATTGTTCCTATTGTAGATTTAAACATTATTGGGACACTAAACATTGAAGACTAACAACTTTATCTCATTTTGTAAATTTGGAGAGGAATAGCCAAAATAAATGTAAATGATTTTATCAAAATTTAGTATTGTTATCTACAAAGATGTGAATCAGTTGAGGGGAAATAAATGTATACGCAATGTATGTGTATATAATGTATGTCAATATATGTGATTTGGGGGCACTAAAGCACAAAAATTCTCCCATAAAATAAACCTTCATGAAAACTGAACAAGCATAAACTTTTCTACTCCAAACAGATGTGAATAAAGATGTTAGGTTTATGGTAGGTTAGCTTTGAGGCATGTTGCCTGAATACTAGCCAACATGCATCTTCCTTGCTGCTGTACGCTGAATTGCAAATTCATCTTTTTACCTCTATTTTATAAAGTGTGCCAAGTGTATCTTGCTTAAGTATTTCTTCTCCATGAATGGCCTTCATATTGTTTTTACATTTACATGTACTAACTGAGGGCATCTAAGCACTTTAAATTGTTCTGTTCTAGTTCTGTTCATCTGGCCTGCCTCATTTTTCTAGGCTTCCTCACAAGCTGTAATTTTTTATTACCATTCATATTGTTTCTACATTAACACTTTATTCATTAAGAAGTACACCAAGCTTTATCTCTCCCTATAGAATCTCACCCTATTGAGTGGTTTCCACTTTTTTTGAAGGGTGTATGTACAAAGTGAAAACAAATTTTGAGAAATAAGACATCCATTCTCTTCTTTCAGTTCAGTCTAATAAGCATTGCAGTATTTCTTTTTGAATTTTTTATTTTTTATAGAGACAGGTCTTACCATTTTACTCAGACTGGTCTGGAACTCCTGTGCTAAAGTGATCTCCTACCTTGGTCTCCCAAAGTGCTGGGATTACAGGTATGAACCACCACGCCGGGCCACAATCCAGTATCTTTTAATTGATCTTATCCTCTAAGTCAATTTCCTAGTGAGGGTCCATACCAATATGTAAGATTTTATTGAAGCTTCCTGTGGTAACTGAGGAACACTTTGTTATGCCTCACTGCCTAACAGGGATCATCAATTAGGAGACATCCAAGATATGACCTATACAGGTAAAGATTTATTTGTACTTTTCTTTCTCCCTTTTTTCTGTAGCATTTTGTCATTTTAGACTCAATGCTCTGATCTTTAGGGAGTGTAATTATTTATTCAAACTAATGATAGAGGAAAAGAAGAGATGGAATGCTAAAGCACACTGAAAACAAATCCTGGCTTTTAGTGTGTTACATTTTGAATACATACTTTCATTAAATAGGCAGATTTTAAAAATTGTTATAATGAAATGTGCCTTTCGGGGAATTATTATATTCACGTCTCCAATTACTACTATAGCCCATTGGAAATTTTCATTTTTCACCTTATAATGAACACTTTTTCTACTATAAAAATATTTCTCTAAAGTTTGATTTCTGTATCAGGATGAGCTTGAGAACACACATATTTCTGTTTGAGGATTTTTGACTTCCTTCCTATGGAAACAGTCTTGTAGCCATGTTATTTACAAATGAAATTTAAAGTACTCTTAAAGCTTTGCCTTAAACACACAAGTAGTAAAGTTTCTGCTTGCATACTGATTTACTTACTGCTAAGCATGTCAGGGGTTATGAACTTAAATACTATAAACTTGGCTGAATCCAGATCTATTGATAAATTGTTATAGTAGCTTCTAGAATTAAAAACCATTAAAAATAAATTTTCATATATTGTAATTTTAGTCAAGTAAAATATGGATGAAAATTAATGAATAAAGTACTATTAAAGGGAGAAAAGATATATAGCCTTATGAGTGATTTTTTTCTCTTTATTTAAAAAATTATACAATTTAGGCTTATAGTAAAAAATTCAAACAGAAGAGGGTATTCATAGAAGTCATTTCCTCATTCCCCAGTCCCATTCCCAGGAGTTTGGGTATTATTCTAGAAGTGTTCTGTTGATACATAAGTATAAATATTTTTCATTTAAAAGAACACATGGGATCATAGTATATTTTTAATACATATTTTTAAAAAAACAACCACATTTCATGGATATCTTTTGATATCAGCACATTCAGACCTGCTTCATTCTTTTTAAAAACTGAGTAATCGATTTAATCAACTGCCTAAAGACGGATATTTTGATTGATCCCAGTATTCTGTATGAAACAACATCTTTACATACTGGAACACTGAATGGGAGTGGGTGAGTCCTAGGAAACATCCTCTCCTAAAAGGTTATGTTTGTCATTGACTAGACATGATTAGAATAGATTCTAATGATTAGAACAGACTTATGAAAGCATTATGGCCAGGCTGGCCAGTGGACTCAGAGTTCACAATCTCATTGCTACCAAAAGAACAAGGCCATTCCTATGGTAGTTCAAAGAACAGTGATTTAGTCATACACTTGTGCTGTCTCAGATGAGTAACTGCAAATTACTTCAAATAGCAGAAGGGTAGCTTAGGTGTAAAAAAGGTCACTGCCACTTCACGTACAGAAAATAAAGTATGTCAGTAAACAGCAAAATTAAAAATAAATGGTTTCAGTACAAGCTTGTATATTTATCTGGTATCAGTAAAATGGTTCAAAATAAACCTGAAGACCATGGTAAGTTATAGCTGTGTTAATGGTGAAATGTGATATTTATTGTTTAAATTCAGCGGCTGGAAGAATCCCCTTATATGGAAGATAGGAATAAGAAGCTTAACGTGTGCTATTTCTAGACTGCATTTCTCTTTAGAAGAATATGACCAACCCATCAGATTGTTGGTATCATTGTTACAGCCTTTTCCTTCACCTCTGCATCATGGTGATGAACTAAAGCTCTTATTTTCTGGGCACACTCTTCCCCATATAACAGGAAAAACAATGAACCGTTAGTGAAAGTAGGCTGTACAGCTAAATGGCCTTCCATTTTGAGGCAGTTATTTATGTTCTGAAATAACGTAAGCACTCGAAGAAGAATCTCCTTTGCTACGTGGCCATCATAAAGGGAAAGGAATGATGAATCCACCTGAAAAAGGAAACAAGGAATAGTATTTTATATTAATAACATATGAAAACATTTTCCACATTTTATTTCACTGCACTATTTTGTATTTTCAAAATCTTTTCATAGAAAACCCTAAAATTGCATAATTTAAATGTGTAAAACCTTTATACACCCCTATATTGTATACTAATAGACAAAAGTTTTGTGTTTTAGTTGAGAAATACAATTTCCTTCGGATCCCAGAACATAGTCATTTGGAAACAACCATTTCCTTTTTAAGATCCATCACATAGTTTTCATGGTAAATCATTAATTCACCAGTCAAACATTTACTGCCCACACACAGTACAGGGCACAGAGCTGGGAACACAGATGAGCAGATGAATACGGCAGCCTCTCTTCTACAGCAGTTGAGCTCTGCCATCTCAGCACCACCACTGCTTCCTTTAGAACATTTACCTCAGCTTTCAATCATCTTGTTCGTTTGTTCCATTTTTTTTGTCTCTCTGCTGCACCATAAACTGCACGAGGACATGTGCTATGTCATGCTATGCTCACTGGTGTGTGTGTCTTGGCACTCAGCCCAGTTTCTAGCACCTACTGGTACTGAGTTTCTAGACTCAGTACTGCTATTTCTGTGGATACTCTGATACATGTGAACAAAAACAGGTCAAGTATAAAAGACAGTATGGCATAAGTGCACCCAAAATTTAGTAGAGAGAAACATAAATTTATTGTTGCAAGGATAATTAAAAAAAAATACTTTTCAAAAGTAAAATATGCTCATTAGGGAAAATTTAGGAAATTTATATATGCAAAAAGAACAAAAAAACCACCTTTAATATTGTTCCTCAGAGATAATCCCTGTTATAGCAACATTTGAGGATAAATCTTTACAGATCTGTCTATCTAAATCTATGTATTTACAAAATAAATATGTACGCTATTTACTTGGGCACCGAGTAGTCCTTCTGTCATGGCTGGATTTTCAGACAAATTCAAAAGCAGTTTCAAAACTTGAACCTGAAATAAGAAGAATATCGGTTTATTTCAGACCAACAAGCATGAATTTTCTCTCCCAGGCGTGCTGTCCTCTCACCATGTCCTTTTAAAGTCTTGCCTATGCTTCCAGGCCTGGCTCACATTCTTTCTACTCCATGAAGCCTTCTCATTCATCCTGCTCATAGGGTTCTCTCTCTCTCTCTCTGAACTCTTATAATACTTGGCCACTCTCAGAGCACTTATCACAGAGCAGTGTCATTTAAACCTTATTTTTTTAATTACACTGTTAGGGAGATAGAGTTATTATGTCTTCAGAATCCACTCCTGACTCAAACATCACACACCTATGTATGCATGGTAAACTTAACGTGGCAAATAAACGATCTTTTTTTTTTCTCCTTAGAAACAGGGTCTTACTTTGTCACTCAGGCTGGAGTGTAGTTGTGTGATTATAGCTCACTGCAAGCTTGACTTCCTAGGCTCAAGCAATCCTTCTGCCTCAGTCTCCCAAGTAGCTGGGACTATAGGTGTGTGCCACCATGCTTGTCTAGTTTTTAAATTTTTTTTTTGTAGAGATACGGTCTTGCTAAATTTCCCAAGCTGGTCTCAAACTCCTGACCACAAGCAATCCTGCCACCTTAGCCTCCCAAAGTGCTGTGACTATAGGTGTAAGCCATTGTGTCTGGCCAATAAATGATCTTTATTAGGATTACTGGTAAGTGAAATAAAAGCTTTGGAACAACAACAACAAAACATCTCTCAAAGCTCAGTTCATTTCTACTTAAAGCATGAAAATTTTGGGACAGTTTGATAACCAAGACTAAAGAAATAACAATATGGCCCTTTTCTTTTTAAGTTACTATGAATATTAGAGGTTATCCTTTTTATGTGAAAATGTTTTATAATCTTTTAAATAGGCACAGTGATATGAATAATTAGCAAACAAATGTTATTTAATAGCTGACTAGCTAAAATATCAGCATTCTTATCACTTATAACTGAAGTCAGTAATAAGAACATTCAAATAGAAGTTCCCTTTTAAATAAAAAGGCTGTGCAAAACCACACTTTCTATAAGATACTTGAAATTAAAGTGAGCAGAAAAGGAGGTACTGAAGTCAGGAAAAAGCAACAAATGTGCTCTTCATTACATCTGGGAAGGAACCTGATGTTTATTTTATAAAACATTTTTTAATTACAAAGGCTGGAGTTGCTTACTGTAGATTTTTTTTTAAATATAGAAAAGCATAAGGAGAAAGGAAATTCACCCATATTTCCATGACCAGAAATGATCAAGTTTTAGTGTTTTTCTTCTTGTCTTTAATTGTGCACATGTCCTATATACTTACAATTCCTTTGATTATGTTGAACATACTATTTATTGAAGAGGAGGACATAAGGCTTTGCTTAATTTTATTGCTTTTATCAACTATTTTAGTTTGATAAGATAAATATGTGGTCATGATAAAAATGTCAAGCAGTGGCCTGGCACGGTGGGTCATGCCCGTAATCCTAGCACTCTGGGAGGCCGAGGCGGGCGGATCGTTTGAGCTCAGGAGTTCAAGACCAGCTTGAGCAAAAGCGATACCCCGTCTCCACTAAAAATAGAAAGAAATTGATTGACCAACTAAAAAAAAAAAAAATATATATATATAAAATTAGCCGGGCATGGTGGCGCATTCCTGTAGTCCCAGCTACTCGGAAGGCTGAGGCAGAAGGATTGCTTGAGCTCAGGAGTTTGAGGTTGCTGTGAGCGAGGCTGACGCCATGGCACTCACTCTAGCCCAGGCAACAGAGTGAGACTCTGTCTCAAAAAAAAAAAAAAAAAAAAGTCAAGCAGCACAGAAGGGAACAAGGTAAAACAAAAGCCACCATCCTATCAGCCCATCCCACTCTCCAGCAGTAACCACTGGTAAACTTTCCTTGTATAAGCAAAGACTTTTTTACACAGATGGCTTCTTAAGGTTAAAGAGTAAAGGAGACAGGAGACACCCCTCCCCCCCGCCCCCTTTTTTTTTGAGACAGAGTCTCACTCTGTTGCCCAGGCTAGAGTGCCATGGCGTCAGCCTACCTCACAGCAACCTCAAATTCCTGGGCTCAAGCAATCCTTCTGCCTCAGCCTCCGGAGTAGGCATGTGCCAACCATGCCCGGCTAATTTTTTCTATATATTTTCAGTTGGCTAATTAATTTCTTTCTATTTTTAGTAGAGATGGGGTCTCGGTCTTGCTCAGGCTGGTCTCAAACTCCTGAGCTCAAACAATCTGCCAGTCTTGGCCTCCCAAAGTGCTAGGATTATAGGCATGAGACTTTAATTTACTCCCTGAAGGTCACTGCCAGATCTCATGTGGTCTGACTTGCTGTCAACACCACCAAGAGTAATGAAGTTTCAATTAGGAAAACAGGTATAAGAGTTATGAAACAGGATGGCCCTATAACAGAGGGAACATAGCCCGAGAAAGGGTAAAATGTTTTATGAGTTGTCTCTTTAAAACACCCTCCCCCCCACTCTTGATGAATTAAAACCTGGATCCCTGCCTGAGGCTAGTAATCAGAGGGGCAGGGGATTGAACACTGTGTTTTGTACCACAGGAGGTACCTCACAGAATTCTCTAGGCAGAGATCACAAGACTATCTTCCCTGGAGATGGGGTGGATCAGGACCAATAATTATAGTGAAATAGCAATAGCCTGAGGCTGAAAACCCTCCCTTTAAAAGCTCTGTATTTCTCCTTATAGATAGCACTGTGGTTAAGACAGCAAGTCTGCCATACTCCTCATTTGCCAGATAATTAATAAACTTCTCTTTCCTTTTCCTCAAACCACTTGTCCCCATTTTTCTGATGCAGCCTCAAGGACAACTGCTGAACTTTTGGTAACAGTCCTAAACCTATGAAATAAACCTGGGTGAAGTCAATAAAATCGAAACGTCCACTAGTAGTCAATGAGGGCAGGTATACAATCAGAATGGCAACAGCAATAGCTATTTAGTATCCTGTACTATTAATGAAATTTGATGTTGCTATCCTCTGTAGAAGGGAGTTAAAACATGAGAAAGAAATATATATAGAGTACAACTATATATTAAACAAATATATGTATTTTGGCTTGAAACCATATTAAGTCCTCTACTCTTTTTTCCTCTTGTCACATGCACCATCTTGTGGTGACACTAGGACATTTTAAGCCATTCATTTTCTTTGCTCATTACAGATGCAGCGAGCACACAGTTTATTTATGTTAATCTTTCACTAACTAAAACTTTTGTATTTCATTATGAAGCAGTGGTGTATGTAAAAGGTTATCATAGTACACTGAGATCACTGACTTAAGCAAAATAACATTTTAAGAGTTATTTTGGTGGTTGTTTACTGAGAAATACCTAAAATGGATATATTTTCCCGCTAACAAATGGATGACTATCCAAAAGTTTATTTGCAAGTTGGAATTTTAAACTCAATTTTTATGGAAAATCAATGTTGTGATTGGTGGCTATGTACCGAGGCAGACCAAAAAAGCAAATGTTCTATCCCAGAAATATTGTACTAGGCAATGTAATGGAAAAATACAACACAACAAAATGAAACAAAAATAGAACATACTATTGTGGTGTGAGTCACCTTCTAAAAAGTCATAAAATGTACTAAAACACAGACCATGTCTGAGACAGATATATACAGCCCTAAGGCCAGACTTGCCTGACTCTGAACCCAGAGTTCTTCCTGAGGTTTTGAGGAGAGTCAGGCTCTCCTCAGCTATAAAGTCAGACAGAGGACTCTGCTGTGGAAACACCATAAGGTAAAGAGGGAAGGAGCTTCCATGGGGCCTCAGGGGCTGGAAGTCATCTTGCTCTACTGGAGAAAAGATGTTGATGGGTGCATGCATGTGGGAAATTGCCTGGAGATGGAACAATATTGCTAGAAGTGTACTTGCTTGTACATTTAATTTTGAAAGCCTTTGGGTACATCCTGAACCAGATCCAAATAGGTCTGGATAATGGAAATGTGAAAAGCCCATATACAAACACTTCAGAAACATAAAAGCAGGGCTACAGCAAGGCTCTTCTGTAATTCCATCCTGATAACCTCAGAAATAACTGCACTGACGTTGGATATTTGGAGTATGACTTAGCATCTGGTCCTTCTAAAATGCTTGTACATTTTTCTCTCAGCTGTCCCAGAGAATACAGACCAATATGGTAAAACCCTGATGAAAAATCAACTCATCAGAACTTATTAGCCTACATTCTATTTTTATGCTATATTTTTCCTTGAAAAATAGCAATTGATAATAATGCATACTAATATGAGGGATTTACTCAAGAAACTTTCATAGTTGTCTCCTGAGTCCCTACTTCAGCTATTTGTTGCCTCCTATATCTACATAATTGGACAGAGCGATGCACTGACACATCTTTCATATATTCAATTCACTTCACTTACTACAATAGCTGAATCAAAATAAATTATTTTGTGAACACCGAGGTAAGCAAAAAATTCAACTAATCATCACTATTATTCAAAAACCCCTTGTTCCTATATCTGGGAGGGGGAAGCTTGCTAATTTACTTCAGTAAATTAGAAGGTAATTTTACTGATTCTCAAAAACCAAATGAACATCAATCTACTGATAAGTGAGATAACAGATGATTTTCACAAGTTAATTTTGCAATGCAATATTAGAGGATAAAAGTAATATACTTTCTTAGGCCCATGTAAACCTTGACTAAACTTCCTCTTTTTTGAAGGACATCAATTTAAGGCAGGTGGCCTGGAAATTCAATTTCAACCTTAATAAGCTTGATGTAATAGCTCCTTGTACTTCAAGTAATAACCACTTCATACCTTGGTATTTCCATTTCCAGTAAGTAACACCTGGAATAGGTCTGTAATGTAACTCTGAAACATGTGCTGGTGGTCATTGGTAACAGTCATGTTTGTTAACAATCTCAGTCCTGCCAGCTGCACAGCAGAGTTCAGGGAACCAGAGAAGACATCCTCACAGACTTGATTGATGTATATCTGAAGGCAGGGGGAGGAAAATGAGCATCTTAGAATCTCCAAAATTCTATTGAACAGTCACTTTTCTGCACAGTGGAGTAGGAGTAGCTATTGCTCAGGATGGAACTGGCTCCTCAGAAAATATATTTTTATCTGGTGCTCAAATTTTGGTAACATTTTTAAAGCTTTGATAATGCCAGGCATTATGCTTAGGATCTTAATTCTGAAGACTACCCTAATGAGGTGGGTGCCATTATGGCCATTTTACAAAGCCTTTAAAGTCTTCAAGAGCTTGAGTTCCCTGCTCAATGTCAGCCAGCAGGTGGGGAAGCAATGTTCAATTCCAGAGATCATCCTCTCAACACCAGTGGCCTCTTGTTGGGGGCCTCCCAACTTAGTTCACTTTTGTTTCAACTTGTCTAGGCCTATCAGGATCAGGGAGAAAGATGCATGAGGCCATTTTGTATCATGGTTAAGTAGAGTCTAGAGAGCTACATTATGTCAGAAGTAAAGAATGGAGGGGGAATAATGTGAAATAGAATTTTTCTTTAGAGTTAATTCTATCAAAAGCAAGCAGAATTATAATTGGCTCAAGGTTCTTCTTATTTACCGAGGGATATGTAGATACTCTATCACTTCATAATACTGTTAACCACCACTGGCAAAAAGTAATGCAATGCCAGTAGTACTCCAGATAACTAAACCCAGTGTGATGGAATGGAAATCTGAAATTCTATTTTCTGTGTCTGGCCATGATCTTTCCAACTTTGAAAAATTATGTTTCATAGATAATTGGTATTTACCTATTATAAATCTGAATTCCACCAGAATTTCTTTTCTTTTCTTTCTTTTTTTTTGAGACAGAGTCTTGCTTTGTTGCCCAGGCTAGAGTGAGTGCTGTGGCATCAGCCTAGCTCACAGTAACCTCAAACTCCTGGGCTCAAGCGATCCTACTGCCTCAGCCTCCCGAGTGGCTGGGACTACAGGCATGCGCCACCATGCCTGGCTAATTTTTTCTACATATATTAGTTGGCCAATTAATTTCTCTCTATTTATAGTACAGACAGGGTCTCACTCTTGCTCAGGCTGGTTTTGAACTCCTGACCTCGAGTAATCCACCCGCCTCAGGCTCCCAGAGTGTTAGGATTACAGGTGTGAGCCACCGTGCCCAGCCCAGAATTTCTAATTGGCACAAAAATTTTCCTAATTTGAAGCACTAAGAAGTTACCAATTGTCCCATTAGCCAATTTAAAAAATTTTTCATTTCAGGATATTATGGGGGTACAAACATTTTGGTTACATGTTATGACTGCCACACCCAAGCCATGGCTTGAGGCATGAGCCATTATTAATTTTTAAAAAGTCCCCAAATGTATTCACGTTACCATATAAAGTAATGGCAGAAAAATAAAAGATTAAACTCTTAATCTGGTTTCAAGAACTTAATTACATTTACAAGTCAACTGGCTTTCCTTGGTCACAATTTCATTACACATCCATCCTTTAAAACCATGGCATTTCTTTAGCTCTATATAAATCATATATTTTTGTAAGATACTCATGTTTTTCCTAAAATGGAATATTTATATCCTTATTATATCTGAATGTTTTCACCATTTCACAATTCTAGTAACAAGATGACCAAACAGGCTAGCTCAATTATTCTTGTCACTGTGCCCACCTCATCTTGCTCCTATCTCTTGGAATTCTCTCTTTCCCCAACTCTACCTATAGAAACCTTAGACTTTTTTTTTTTTTTTTTTTTTATTAATTTCATCTGGGGGTGTTGCTCATAAACCTTAGACATTCTAAAGAATGGTCAGACTCCAAAGTTTCTTACAGAAACTTTTAGATAGGATCTCTCCTTTTTAGGTACCCAAAGATTACTTACATTTTCCTTAAAGCATTTCCTCACATTCTGTCTTGAATTACAACTACTGAAGGACTTGCCTTAGAAAAAGAGTTGTATCATGTGCATGTCTATACTCTGTACCACAGAGGAGTTCAATAAGTGTTGAATTGAATTAAGATAATTTCCTAATTTATTGTGTCTTTCTGCTGATGTTATCTGACTCTGGCCTGGTCCCTTTAGCCTTGGATTAAACTAAAGCCCAACTTCAAAAGTTTAATTGCACCCCTATTGGCTGGTTTAGGCTCGTCCTTCCTCTACCTTATTCTCCACTCCTCTAAAGGCAATTCTTGACCATAAAGTTATAAAGAATAATCTACTAAAGTTTCGTTAGTTACCTTTTTGTTATTTTCTTTTTCATTTATAGAAAACCTCATACGTTTGTGAGTTCAGACAACTTACCTTTATTTTGATTTGATTTTCAACATTCACACTCAGATTATTTAATGCATTTAAAGCTTTCTCTTTAATGTTGGGGTCAGGACTGTTGATTTTGTTTCCAACAATTGGAATACCACCCAATTCACGAATAATAGCCTAGGAGGGAAAAAACCAGAACCATGACTTCTATATGCATTCCCCTTCATTGAATTCTTTGCATCCACAAATACTAAACTAAAAATTAATGACTTTTTGAAAATACCTTTCTTATACACAAATCTATAATTCCTATTTTAAAAAAATCTTACCATAAAATAAAATTATTAAGATATATAATCATTTAAACTATAGTATGGAGTTATAAAGACTTGCAGAGCTACTATAATCTTGAAGAAATTTACAAACAAAATTATTTTATTAATACTTTGAAAGAAGTTATATGACTTCTATATTACAGGCAAATCTGGAAGAGTTATCATTTATTTATTTAAGGTTTTTTTTTTTTTTTTTGAGACAGAGTCTCACTTTGTTGCCCAGGCTCCAGGCTAGAGTGAGTGCCGTGGAGTCAGCCTAGCTCACAGCAACCTCAAATTCCTGGGCTCAAGCAATCCTGCTGCCTCAGCCTCCCGAGTAGCTGGGACTACAGGCATGTGCCACCATGCCCAGCTAATTTTTTCTATATATATTAGTTAGCCAATTAATTTCTTTCTATTTATAGTAGGGATGGGGTCTTGCTCTTGCTCAGGCTGGTTTCAAACTCCTGACCTCGAGCAATCTGCCCGCCTCAGCCTCCCAGAGTGCTAGGATTATAGGCGTGAGCCACCGCACCGGGCCTATTTAAGGTTTTTTAGAAACAAGGTCTTGCTTTGTCACCCAGGCTGGAGTGCAGTAGCCCCGATCATATCTCGGGGCTACTGCATAGCCCCATAGTTCATTCCTGTGAACTATACATGAAAAAGGGTCATTTCTCAGTGTTAATGGAGGGAACACATTAACATCTTGCAGAATTGGAGTTCCACATGGTTTGAAAAATGGTACCCAAATTTTCAGAAGAACAACAATCTGGGATTTCTCACAATTAATTACAACACTATGTTACCATGTGTCTTTGTCTCCAACATTGAAGAAGTATTAATTGCTTTAATTCTTATAAGAAAAATATGCTGAAAATTACTCGTCAGGCTAAGACATGCTACTCTATCAGAAAAACACTGCCATCATCTACTTTTTACAAGTAGCCTAATACTCTACTGTTAAGGGTGGGCTTCATATTAGGGGAAAAAGAAACTTTCTCTCTGCAATGCCAGGTTCTTTTGAAGAACTTGCAGTTACTAGAAAATGGTCTTTTTTAAAAAAAACACACACACACAAAAAAACCTGTACTGTTAAAGCAGATCAAGGTACTATAACTGATGGTGAAGGACACCAACCCCCACTGCTCAAGAAAGTACTTGTTCTCCAGTGGCTATTAGCCCACTCTGATTACAACTTGTTTCAGAGTATTATAAAACCATGGCATCAGAAATACTCCAATAGAGACAGGCTAACAAATTAGTCATCATCTATTATTTTTGTTTGTCTTTTTCCACTGGGACAGACACTGTACCTCCTCCATGCCACATAATTCCTAGAGGGACTGCTGGTTACGTGTGCTCACATCCACCCCCACTGCTTGGCTATGGGATGCTCATGTGAACCAGGCTTCACTCTCATGTGCCACAGCCCCTTGCTCCAGAGATTGACCTAAAGGGTAGGCACTTGATCCTAGCAGAACAATCCACCTTTTGGATCATGAGTTGCAGCGATGAAGACGTGAGAGGCCAGGGCTTTCTTTTCTTTCCTGTGAAGAAAACCTCTTTGTAGCCAGAGAGACAAAGACCAATATGTTAAGAAAGGCAGGCACAAGCAAAGCCAAAAGGTAGAGAAAGAGAGAGCTCTGATAACTCTTTCTGCAACCTTGAACTGGATTCAATTGTGCCTGAAATCAATGCTATTTTTAGATGTCCAAGTTAGCTGAGCTCAATATTTTCTCTTTTAGGGTTAAAATAATTTAAGTTGGATTCTGTCACAGACAACTGAAAGAGGAGATAATGCACAAAGATTCTCCATCTCCCTATAAATCTTTAGAGCTTCACAGTAAACCTTGCCATTCTGGAGAAAACTAGACTGAAATAAAGTATACATTCAAAGTAATTTTGCATTTATGACAATGTTGAAAAAGGGCATTAACTAAAAATGTTACAAAAATATTTAAACTATTTTCCCACGCTGGGGTGTGAAGGGGGCAGTAGGGAGAAAGAAGCATTCAAATTAAGCTCTTTAGTATTGGTATTAAGTCTCTACTTGAAGAAGCCATTCACACTGATTAGTGGTTGTCAGAATGTGGTCCAGGGACCACCTGACCTGCATCAGAACCACACTCATAAGACCTCTATACAATTTATGGCATGCATTTAAATGTGGGATGCTTTTATTGTTTTACTGAAGCACTGCTGACTTTTAAATAATTTAAAAGGCCATGCAATGCTAAATAATGATTAGATACACTTATGAATGTGATGCCAGTGACCAATTTCATAGGGATCTAGAATCATATTAATAATCATATTACTAACAGGCTGTACTTTTCAGAAATAAACAAATATTATGTTGTAGGTATAAGTAGCAAGACTGTATAGATGAGGAATTGAGGCTCTGAGAGGTTAAGTAATTTATCTAAGGTCACAACTAATGGGTAAGAATGGAAGGAGCTTGTTTGCTGAGACAAGGGTACTTACTTGGTTAACTGAAAAAGCTGCATTGTTTCCCACAGTGACCAAAGCTCTTTCAATAATTACAGGATCTTCAGTTGACTCAAGTAGATAAAGGAGTTTCTGAAGTTGTTCAGCATTTAGGACATCATCATATGAACCATTGGTTAAGTCTTCTGCATAAGAAGAAAGTTATCTAAAATCAATATGAGATTTTTAAATTTAAAAAACAACATCAAACATAAACTCTGATAGCACAGTATTAAGCACTTTATATGTTTTATCACATTTAATCCTCAAGCAACCCTAGGAAGAAGATACTATTATTCTCAATTTACAGATGGGAAATTTAGGTTTACAGACATCAAGAAATTAGCCAGTGGTTACGTGGTATTCGTCTGTTAGTAAGACACCACATACCAATGCTATATACTTCTAATGCTGACAGCATTTTGTTTCTCTTTTTAAAAAACCAGGCCAGATACACCTATCCAATGGAACCCTTACCTATAGGGCATAGATTAATTGATTAATTAAGGAATAGGATTTGCATTAAGCAGACTTTTTCTGAGCACATCCGAAAGGAGAAAACCTATGGGAGTAAGCCAATCGTGTTCCAGTGTGGCATTTTTGTTTGGTTTATAGGAATAAGGCAAGATGACTGGGAAGCTAGAAAAGAAAAGGCATCATTTTGAGTAAGAGCTAGAATAGCCAAATGCTGGATTTGCTCAATGATTTTTAGAATTTATAGTTCTACCTTTAAAAAAAATTCTCTTTCTAGAAATCACCACCAGAAAAACAGAATTTTTTTTTTTTTTTGGCCCTTTTCTGTAGAAAAGTACAGAAACCATTTTAATAACACACTGTGGGGCAGGAAAGAGAGGTTATACAACCATGGGTACTATGTGGTCTCACATTTGTGCTTTTTCTTTTTAAAAATATATGTAAACTTGTTAAAGGTGGTTATCTTTGGGTATCGGGATTATGGATTTTTTTTTTTTTTTTGAGACAGAGTCTCGTTCTCTTGTCCAGGCTAGAGTGTAGTGGCTTCATCAGAGCTCACTGCAACCTCAAACTCCTAGGCTCAAGCGATTCTCCTGCCTCAGCCTCCTGAGTCACTGGGGCTACAGGCAGCTAATTTAAAAAAATTTTTTGTAGAGACAGGGTCTTGCTTTGTTGCTCAGGCTGGTCTTAAACTCCTGCACTCAAGCAATCCTTCAGTCTCAATCTCCCAATGTGCTGAGATTATATGTGTGAGCCACTGCACCTGGCATGAATGACTTTTATTTTCTACCCCATGCTCACGAGTACTAATTTTTTTTTTTTTTTACAATAAACATGTAACTAAAATAACCATATTGCTTAAAGAGGAATCACAACAAAATGAAAGGGACAAGTATAGATTATGAGAAACAGTGATATGATATCCTGAAGAAGTCAAATAGAAATCTTTTAAGAAAACTTCAAAGCTAAAAAGCCAGTAGATCCTCACTATCAAGTATTATGATCAGAACCCTGCTTTTACTCCTGAATCCATTACTACTCTTATTTATATGTTATAAAACAGAGTTTCACCCAAAGAACACTTGATAAGGGAAAGTGATAAAAACAGCTTTTTAGAATGGAGAGAATTTGGGGCTCACCCAAACCTCTCATTTTACACATGAAGAAACTTTAGTGAGGATTATTTCAGGCTTTGCCTAAAGTCACAGAGGTAGCTAGTAGCAGAAGCCAGAGAAATGAAAATACAAAGCTGCAGGCAAGTTATTGAACATCTTTTTTGAGTCTCAGTTTTCTCATCAGTAAATAAAATGGTTGGTTGAATAGTATAACTGGCTCCAAAGGTTCTGAAGTTGTGTGATTTTATACACACACACACTAGAAATGTGATAAATTTAATTTATCCATACTTCTGAGATATTTCAAAATTGTATTACTTTGTTACACATTATTCCATGAAACCATTTTTAAAAAGTTTCATAGATAAATTCTTTATAAATAGCCAAATAAAATTTTACTAGGGAACAGTATTAAATCATAGAATTTTCACTTGAAGGGAAGAGGTTCAATGTGGTAGTTAAAAGTAAGTAAAGGCTATGGAGCCAGATTGGCTTGTTCGAATTCCAAATAAGCCTCTTATCAGGTGAGAGTTTTAACTCTGTAAGCCTCAGTTTCTTCATCTGTTAGAGGTGAGTTAATAATGCCTACCTTAAAGCATTTCTGTACCTAGAATATTGGGAGTGCCTGGTATATTTTAGCTATTATTTTTAAAAATGGGACACACAGCTGATTAATAGCAGAAGTGGCTCTGGAATCCAGATATTTTTACTCCCAGTAAATAAAGGGGAAATTGCAGTTCTGAAAGGGAATAAAAAGTGGCTAACAAATTATAACATCGTAGCAAGATAAATTTCAAGATAACTGTCATGGTTCAGAATCTTTCCATCCAGAAATATAGTAGCCTTTTCTGTTTAATGTAGTCCTAGGTCCTTCAGTAAAATTATTTTCATATAGGCTTCTTGCTAGATGTACTGAGTTTTTAAAGTTTTTATAGCCATCACGAATACAATCTTTTATTTATTTTTTCCTTTATTGTTTTGTTTATTCTATTGATTTTTTATCTTTTTTAAAAAAACTTTTCTTTTTTTGTTACTTTTATCTTTCATCTGATGAACAGCAACGAATGAACTTTTAAAGTAGACTTCTGAATTGTTATTGCTTGTATACAAGAAGCTATCGATCTAAATATTTGTACTCAAGATACTTTGTTAAACTTATTGCTTCTAGTAGTTATTCAGGTAATTCTCTTGGATTTTTTGCAAGTAAATCATTATGCCACCTACAAATTATAATTTTGCTTAATGTTTATACATCTTATTTTTTAATTAATTTTTTAGAGACAGGGTCTAGCTCTGTCACCCAGGCTGGAGTGCTGCGCTGCCATCACAGCTCACCGCAGCCTTGAACTCCTAGGATCAAGTGATTCTCTGGAGTAGCTGGGACTACAAATGTATACCACCACACATGGCTCTACTTTTGGGTTTTGATAGATGCTCTTCATCAATTTATGAATAACATTTCCTTCTCTTTATTCCCAAATTGCTGTTTTTATCAGAAATGATACTTCAATGCCTTTTTATTATGAGATTGTGCAGCTTTTGCTTTTCCCAATATGACTCCTCCTTGCGTGTTTATTTGGTCTTAGTATATTATTAATCTCATGATAGATTTGATTTGTTAATATTTTAAGATTTTATATCTTTATTCATAATTGAAGCAGATTTATAGCTTTCCATGCTATCCTTGTCAGGTTTTGGCATTGTATTTTTGGATGAATTGTGACTGTCTGTCTCAATGTTTTCAGTCTTAATGGTACAGGAATTAGAAATTTCTTAAAGCTTAAGACAAAGAAATCACCTTCTGAAACTTAAGGGTGATTGACAAAATGAGCATTTTTCAAGTTTTCTTCAAAGATAAAGGTGTAGTTGCAGGAAGCAAGGATTGTGAACAACTTATTTTGTAAGCTGCCTGACCTAAGATAATGAGGATTTTGGGAACTGGTAAATTTAAAAGACTTTGTCAGTATTCATCAGGTTGAGTCAGTATAATAAGATATCTGAGTCCAGGACATCTTCCCAATGTACTTATATGGAAATATCTCTGACATAGGCCAACATAATAAATTAGGCTTTCTAAGCGCTATGGTTTGAATGTTCCCTCCAAAACTTAATCCCCAACGTGGCAGTATTGAGGTAGGGGCTTTAAGAGGTGATTGGATCATGGATTAAAGGGTTAATGGATTAATGAGCTATCACTGGAGTAAGACTGGTAGCTTTATTAGAAGAGGGAGAGACCTGAGCTAGCATGTTAACATGTTCAGCCCCCTTGCCCTGTGCCACCTTGGGACTCTGCAGACTTCCTACCAGCAAGAAGGCCCTCATTAAATGCAGTCCCTCAACCTTGGACTTTTCAGGCTCCATGACTGTAAGAAATAAATTCCTTTTCTTATAAATTATCCACGTTCAGGTATTCTGTTATTAACACATGCAACAGAAAACAGACTAAGACAGTAAGGGTAAACACAAATGTTTTTGAAAAAATTCTATTCTCTCCAGTGCCCAAAGTGAAAGAGACCTTCCTTTCCCCACTCTTTTCTTAAAGCATTTCCTTGAACAAACTTGTAATTAAAAATCCTTTGTCTCATTGATATAAAGGTAAATCCTTTTAAAAGCTAAACTTTGGCTAGTTTTACAACCCAAGAATGTCTTTCTCAAAGGCCTGGATATCAACTCTTTGAAATGTCAACTTAGAGGAAGATAGAGCCCCGATCTCTCCATCTCTGTGAGAGTTTACCTTAGGCACCTGATTCCACATTGTAACTACCTGCTTATCGTAAAAATAGAACTCTTATTTTTCCTCCGGATAAAGGCAGTTAGCTAACACAACCACACCAATTACCAGTGAATTTAGGATGAACCATGTGTAGCAAATGATGCTGTCAAGTCCTCTCACTTAAGTACAAATTATCTTAAGAACACCCACCTGATAAGAAATCGTTTGCATCTGCTTAGCTACATAAAGGGGTTAGAATTCTGCAATCCCATTAGCAGATTGCCTGAAATGTACGAGGCAATCTGGTTTAGTGGATTAGTCAACAATAAAACTGTTTAGTTCTCTTCTATAGTTGTGGAGAGGTGCTTCGTGATGGCAAGATGTTTTAAATATTTCTCTAACAGCTTCCGCGACCTGAAATATCCCTCTAAAACATTCAGCAAACTGTTAAGACTTTAAAAGTTTTTAGAGTTTTAATGTACCAATCAGCTTTTGGACAGAACTAATCGTGCACTTGTACGCCAGCGGGGTGTGCCTCATGCAGACAACTGTTCAAATTTCCAATACACACACAAGTTGCAAGATCCTAGATCATGGAGATACCAATTACATCTCCTCTCAGAGGCCGGGCCCCAGCACAAGCAGAATTGCCCCCTCTGGCGTCCCTTCTCTCAGGGCAAATGCATGCAGAACTTCTATGCTCAGGCTCCGGAACAGCCATCCCACAGTCGGAGGAATCCCTCTTGTAACTACACAAAGGCTCCAGGCAAGCTTTAAAGTGAGAGGCAATCGACATGCTTTTAGGAAACCTAGCCTCCGCTGTGACGCCTGACCACCAGTAAAAGTTTAGGCAATTTTTCATCCCAGGATTTTGAACAAAGAAGTGGAGGCAGGCAGGGAGGCGGCTCAGGACCCCCACACTAGTAAAGGGACCATCCTTCCTCCCCATCTGGGCCTCCTCCCCCTCTGTCTTGGCTCTTTATTTTACCCCCAACACGCGGAAGCCACAAGAGCTTGCGCGTCTTCGGTCCCCACCCGGCCCTGGGACGGCCCCAGTGCCCCGTCCCCGCCCACTCGTCGGGCACCCGGCGGCCTCACCTGCAGACCGCGAGGGACGCAGCCTGAGCCCGCGGCCGCCTCTCCGCCGGCCCCGCGTCAGCCTGTAAATGCAGTAGCAGGCGCCAGCGCCGAGGACCAGGCCCGCCGCCACCCAGCCCACGTCCCGGGCGCCGCCCATACTGCCGCCGGGCCCGGGCGCAGGGTAGGCCCCCGGCAGGAGGCTCGTGGGCGCTGGCGCTGGGGGTCTCCAACTGAGGTCTCACTGCCGCCCAGAGCAACTGGGCCGGGAGAAAGAAAATGGGGGTCCGAGCTCCACCTCCCGGAAACGGCCCTGCTAAAATCGTAAATCCCTCCACCCGGGCAGACGCGTCCCTGCGGCTTCCAACAGGCAGGCCGGGGAGCTGGCCTCCGGGAGAAGCCACACCGACTGCGCGCCCCGCGCGGAGACGCTGGGGTGCGCCACCCGAAGCTGGCTGCCCGCCCCATCTCCTGAGGCCCGCCCCGCCGCGCGCGGCCCGCCTCCCTCCCCAGGCCCAGGGGCAGGGGCAGGGGGAGGGGGAGAGGGAGCACGAGGCTCCGCCCCGCCCCGTGGTTGCCAGGACAACGCCCGGACGCGCCCCGCCCACTCCTGGCGCGGCGCCTGCTGCGCGGATCGCGGGAGCCAGCGGATCGCGCTTGTCTCCAGGCCGCGGACCATGGCCTCGCTACGCAATGCCAACCCCAAGCTGAGGAACTACTTCAAGGCGAACTACATTCCTCAGGTCTGCGAGGTACTGAAGGCACTTGGCGGCGGATACGGACCGACTGAGAGGAGCTAGAAGGGGGAGGAGTCAGGAAGAGCTCCCGGAGGAGGGGCTCGGGGTGGGGGGAGGGTGGGGAGGAGTGGAGCGGTGGGGGTGAAGTTGGGTTTGGACTAGTCGGCGGTCTGGGCTCAAGGGCAGGTCCTGAGAGAAGACGGGAGGTGACGGTGGCCGAAAGCGGGCAGTGGGTGACATCTCCCAGGGAGAAAGAGGACTGGGCCCGGGACGGAAACCCCAAACGCCTGTGACTTTTAAGCTTTGGACAAGAAGAACCTGAGGACCAGAGGAGGAGTGAGAAAAAAAGTGCCAGAGACAGAAAGAAGAGGAAAATCAGGAGAGTGTGGCATTGCGAAAAGTGTTTTAAGGAGGGAGTGGGCAATGGTTACCTAAGATAAGGAAGGACCTGAAGGAGTTCTGTGGATTCTGCCCAAGGTGAGCCTGGGGTTTCAAAGGAGCGGTGAGAACAGAAAATAGAGGTGAGCTGAGGAGAGAGCGGAAGCTGAGATGAGACCCTTAGGATGTAGCCAGCCCTTTGTGAAGGGAAGGACCCTCACAAGCAGTTGCCTTTAGAGGAAGGACTACGCACCTCCCCTATTATTAAATATAGTAGGAGGGAAGGAGGATAGAATGGGAGTTGACAGTAGTAGGTTTTGTAGGTTTGGGGGTAGGGAGCTGAGAAAGTTGTCCTTGGTTGACTTCTATTTTCTCTACAAATAATTGGTGAGATATTTGCCAAGCATGTGTGTTTGGGTGCGGATGGGGGTGGCGGTGCAGTAGGAGGTTTAAACAAAGACAAGTTATGTGGAGAACGAGGGAGAGAGCTGTCTAGGGAAGGAAAGAAGAGAGCCCAGCTGGATGTGGTAATTCTTCTATGCAGTTGGGAGGGCAATTCGGTACAGCCCTCCTCTTTTTGGAAAGTAATTTAGAAGTATTTGTTAAAATGTTAAGTACATACACCCTTTGACCAAATGTTTCCACTTCTAAGGATCTACTTTAGAGAAAAACTTGCACATGTATTCAGAAGGATGTACAAGGATATTCATCATAACTTTTTTATGGTGAAAACAGTAAATAATGGAAATGTGGCTAAGAGATATGCAGAATAAAGTATTTCTGTACCCACTGAGAAGAAATGCCCTCCAAGGCATATTATTAAGTAAAAAAGAAAAGTGCAAGTTGCCCAGCAAAGAGTCCACTATACTCTAGCTGCCTATCTGATTTCATACATACATATATATGTATATATTTGCATATGTGTTTGTGTGTATAGCTATATTTAAGACAATAATGCATGCATAAAACATATGACAAACTATTAACCACAGATGTTTGAGAATGGTTTTATGGGAGGAGAATTCTAATTTTTTATTCTATACATATCTGTATTTTAATTTGTTATAATGAGTTTCATTCATGTTGTACTACCATACAACTATGCTTAAAATATGTAGATAGAGTAGTTCCCAGTTGTGTGATTTTCTCAAGTAGCACTCAGTAAATCAGATGTGCCGTGTTTCCCCGAAAATAAGACAGGGTCTTATATTTATTTTTCCTCAAGAAGACACCCTAGGGCTTATTTTCAGGGGATGTGTTATTTTCACCTCAGAGCCTCAGCTTGCAGCACGCACAGGATGGCTGGGACATGACAGAGGAGCAGACCTTGTTGGTGGGACTGCCGCACCTTTTTAAAATTTTATTTTATTTCGGCATGTAATGGGGGTGCAAATTTTAAGGTTTAAAAAAATGCCCCTTCCCCCCTCCCCCCACAAGTCTGAGTTTCCAGCATGACCATCCCCCAGATGGTGCACATCTCACTCATTATGTATGTACATCTGCCCCCCTCCCACCTCCCACCTGCCCAATACCCTATTACTGTAGTTCTTATGTGTCCACTTAGGTGCTGCTCAGTTAATACCAGTTTGCTGGTGAGTATATGTGGCGCTTGTTTTTCCATTCTTGGGATACTTCACATAGTAGTATGGGTTCCAGCTCTAACCAGGAAAATACAAGATGTGCTATATCACCGTTGTTTCTTAGAGCTGAGTAGTACTCCATGGTATACATATACCACATTTTATTAATCCACTCTTGGGTTGATGGGCACTTGGGCTGTTTCCACAGCCTTGCAATTATGAATTGTGCTGCTACAAACATTCAAGTGCAGGTGTCTTTTTTGTAGAGTGTCATTGGATCTTTTGGGTAGATGCCCAGTAAATGGGCTGCCTCACCTTTCAGGTAACTTCTGGGATAGTAGCTGTCATGATGGGGCAGATGAGAAGGGCTGCTTGTCTTTTTAACCTCTTGGCAATGAAATGCATGGGTTGTGCAGATATGCTCTGTAGCCATGCCCATCACTAGGTCTTATTTTCAGGGTAGGATTTATATTGTGCAAATGCTTAGAAATCCTGCTAGGGCTATTTTATGGTCTTATTTTCGGGGAAACACAGTAGGTACAGAAATAACCCAATTGACTTCATCAAGGATAGGAGTTTGCCAGGCATATAGAATGGAACGGCAGTAGGTAAGGGAGCTAAGCTGCTGCATGCCTGAAGGAATGGGCCAAGGACTCTAATGACTGGGTGAGAAATGAGAATAGGATGTGATGCTGATATATGGGCAGAAAGCAGAAGCTCCTAAGTGGTAAGTGAAGAGGAGTAAAGGGAATTATTAGGTGAGAGAGCTGGAAATGTAGATGGTAGGGTCAGAAAATGGAATGTTTGTATTTAAGATTCAGGTTTGGTTGGGTGTGGTGGTTCACACTTGTATCCCAGCACTTTGGGAGGCTGAGACAGGAGGATTGCTTAAGGCCAGGAGTTCAAGACCAGCCTGAGCAACACAGTGACACCCCATCTCTATTAAAAAAAAAAAAAAGCCATGCATGGTGGTGTGTGCCTGCAGTCTTCTCTTCTGAATTTCACCTACCTGTCCTAAATAAAACCTGATTGTCTACTTAAAATATCATTTCCCTGCAAACCTCTTGATTAGAGGCTGATTTAAAAAAAAAAAATCCCACTTGGTTTTCTGGGCTTACTGAATCTGTTGATTTATGGGTTTTTTGGGTCAGTTTTAGAAAATTCTTGGTCATTTTATTAATGAAATATTATTTAGTTCTCTCTATTCTCTTTATGGGACTCCAATCATAAGTATGTTAGGTTTTGTTTTATTTTTTGTTTTATTTTGTCCTACATGTCTATTTTGTTCTATTCCTTTTCCCCCATTTTTTCCTTTATGTTCAAGTTTGGATCTTTTTCATTGACTGTCTTCAAGTTTACTAATTCTGTTTTTTGCTATGTCCAATCTATTGTTAAATACATCAAATGAAACCTTAATTTCAGTTCTAGAGTGTCTATTTGATTCTTTTTTATACATTCTGATTTTTAAAATCATGCATCTTTTATTCATTGCATCTGTCTCTTCCCATTTTCTTTAAGATGTTAATTTTTTTTTTGTTTGTTTTTTTCCTGAGATAGGGTCTTGCTTTTTTGCCTGGCCTAGAGTACAGTGCCTTGTCATAGCTCAGGTGACTCTCCTGCTTCCCTCAGCCTGCGACTAACAAGCATGTGCCACAATGCCGGGCTAATTTTTCTATTTTTTGTTGTAGAGCCTGTAAGGTCTTGCTGTGTTGCTTAGGCTGGTCTGGAACTCCTGCTCAAGTGATCCTCCTGCCCAAGTGAACCTTCCAAAGTGCTAGGATTACAGCTACCATGCCCAGTCTGGTTGTTATTTTAAAATCATTGTTTGTTAACTTGAATAGCTGGATCATCTGTGGGTCTGATTCTATTGTTTGTTGATTATTAATTACAATTTCCTGCCTCTATACATATCTTGTTATTTCTTATTTTTATTAGACATCATATATTAAAAAAATTATAAACTCCAGATGATATACTCTTTCATGGAGAAGTTTCTTACTTTCCTCTCTACAAGGTAAAGAGCTGATGGCTTTGGATGGCTTCAGTCCAGGTGGGGATTGAGCTGGGTGGAGGCTGTACTGCAGTTTTCAGTTTTCTTCAGATTCCATCCATATCTGATTTGTCCCTGTTTTTGGCTATAACTTTTCTGGGCTTTTTTGTTTGTTTTTGGAGACATGGTCTCACTCTGTCACCGGGGTAGAGTACAGTGGTATGATTATAGCTAACTGCAACCTCAAACTCCTGGGCTCAAGAAAGCCTCCTGGCTCAGCCTCCTGAGTAGCTGAGACTACAGGTGCATGCTACCATGCCCGGATAATTTTTTTATTTTTTGTAGAGACAGGATCTTGCTATGTTGTCAGGCTGGTCTTGAACTCCTGACATCAAGCAATTTCCCTGCCTTGGCTTCCCAAAGTGCTGGGCTTTTTTTCTTCTTCTTCTTCTGAGATAGGGTCAGAAGCTAGCAGGTCTGTGTCTCCTTACCCGGAAAGACTGCAAAAGATTTAGTTTTGCCCTTCAGAGGTATTTGAACTTAGCTCTTTGGCCTTTTCTCCAGGCCCTCAACTTAAAAATCTGGCAAATATATTGAGAGTTAGGCTAGCTGCATTTTTGAGACAGGCTTCTTCTCCCTTACCTAAGATTATGAGATACTCATTCTGCCTTTTGGGAGTTGATGTTCTAGTTCCCCAGCCTCCTGCATGGAACACACTCAGCAAATGTCTCATGGGAGAAAGTGGCCACATTTGGGGCACCTCAAGTTTCTAATCTGTCGTATTAGCTCCATGCAACCACCAAAATCCTGTTGGTTTCTCTCCTTCGTGGTGAAGTTCCCCTGCATGGCCCTAACCCAGTCTTCTTTCCATATGCAGAATTAGCACATCTTGAGTTAAAAAAAAAAAAACAGCTGTGCATTGTCAGCTCATTTCAGAAAGTTCTCCCTTCTCTGGAGTTTCATCATTCTCCAATACCTTTTAAAATGTGATTTTTGTATCATACCTGATTTTTTCTAGTTGTAGCAGAATCACTGGACCATGATGACTTTCTACTTCTGAGTTGGAAATAAAGTCCTGTGGAGACTGCTTTTGTTTCACTCCTCAGTTAACCTGGGATCCACAGATGGGATAGCTGTCCTCCTTGGCTCCCACTTTCCACTTCCAAATGACATCTCTTCCCTCCTTTTTATAAAAGCCGCTTTATAGTTCATAATGTCAAATTTAGTACTCACTCTATTATGTACCAACCTCTTGGTTACTCTTTGTACTTCTTTGATAACTTTAGAATCTGGCTTAACACCTTCCTTTCTACCTCTACTCCTATCATTGTTCTAGGCGGCTTCAACATCCTCAGAGATGTTCCTTTCACATCCCTAACCTATCTTCCAATTATCTTTGCTTTTACTATTTCTTAGTCATTCTACTTCATGACTCTTGATAATTTATCCCAAATTACTGTACCATCTCTGAAAACTCCATTTCTTCTTCTCACTTTTCATCTAACTTCCCACCTCACTCAATCTGGGAT